GATAGACACTGTTTACATATTCCCCAGGGAAGAGATTTTTAGCAATGGAGCCTTTGCTTTTCCTACCTGTGAAAGGTGACCTGGAAAATATACTTTGAATACTGTTGATGAGAGTTAAAGGATGTACTAAAATAAAATTATTCTGAATATTGAGATAGGAAGAATAGGTTTGGGGATTCCTTTCAGCCTGCAGTTCAAGGCTCTGTTTATGGCTGGTTAAACTTGAAATAGCAGAGAGTCTTGTTCCTTCTGAAAGAGCTGAAGGAAACAATCACTTTAGTAGCTTGAACATTTACTCTGCAGAGTCTTTCCATGTAGCTCAGGGTGGCCTTGAACCTGTAATCCTTGTGCTTTATCTCTGTGTGCTAGTATTATGGGCATGTGCTGCCAGCCCTGCGTAACTACAAATTCATTCTTAAAATGAAGAAACTAAAGAGGTAAGAATTAAACAGTCAACAGTGAATGATCTATCACTGATGTCATAGAGACAATTCATACAGATTTATTTCATAATCTCTTGGTTAATGTGGTACTAAATCAGGCTGACTATTTATCCATCAGTTTTTGGTAAAAATCATTGCAGATATTGGTAAACATTTTAGAGTAGACATTAACAAAACTTATCAGTCAAATTCATTCCAGAAATTCTAACGGGCTGTTTTATACTCACATTAAGAAGCTGACCTGGACAGAAAATTGAGATATTTGAAGTGTATCCATTTCATCTCTAAAACCACTGTTTTCTCTATTTTTAATTGTTGGAAACATTCCTAATTTGAAGCTAGCATTTTAAACTTAGTTGAGTTTTAAATTTTTACAGAAGGAGTCAACCCTGAAACAGAATTCTAGGCTATTCTAGTTAAACTATGGGGTGGGGGTCTGGACACCAACAAGCTTAATGATCAACAACTGTTCTTTTATTCGTTTGTTTTCATTTTTTAAAAGATTTATTATGTATACAGGTGTTCTGTCTGCATGTATGCCTGCTGGCCAGAAGAGGGCACCAATCTCATTACAGATGGTTGGGAGCCACCATGTGGTTGCTGGAAATTGAAGTCAGGACCTCTGGAAGAGCAGCCAGTGCTCTTAACCTCTGAGCCATCTCTCCAGTCTCCAACTGTTGATTCTTATAGACTTTAAGTTTGAGCCTGGGGTTGGAGAGATGACCCAGCCGTTAAAGGCTAGGCTCACAACCAAAAATGTAAGTTTGAGACTGTCTGGGTAGTTGAACTGGAGTAGGAGAAGTCTGTAGTAGATAGTAGAGATGAGCTTTGGTGTTGATGGGGACTGACATTCTATAAACCAGTATGAACCTGTCATAATCCTTAGCAAGTTTATAGAGCAGAACACAGTGATGTTCTGAGGCTGTCCGTATATGACTATAAGGCACATGGAACTGGAGGTGTCTGTTTGCCGTTTGGTTCAATAAGAGAGGAAATGGGCCTCTGGCAGAGAATAGATGGAAAGTGTCTGAGTTGGCAGGGAGCTAGCGGAATGGAAGCTGAGACATGAAGAAAATCACTATGTATGGATTATCTGTCCCCAGCAAGCACCTGCCTAGTGGGTGGGATCTGAGCTCCCCTGCTCATGTCTCTGGTTGTGCTCAGAGTAAACATTAATGATGCTTAGTTGGTTTTTGAAGAAGAATTTCTAAATGTGTTTGAGGTGAGAGATCTTTAGTAATAGATAATATGTCCCTTCTGCTTGAAAAAGGAACTTTGCCTAACATCATGAGAGTATTATTATTATTATTATTTTGGTTTTTACGAGACAGGGTTTCTCTGTATTGTTTTGGAGGCTGTTGGTCCAGCCCGGCCTCGAACTCACAGAGATCCGCCTGCCTCTGCCTCCCGAGTGCTGGGATTAAAGGCGTGGGCATTATTTTATAACTCGTTACTTGAGAAAAGGACAGGCGTTCCTGTCTTGATGGCTCTGGGGGGAGCAGCTTGAAACAACTGAGATGCTGTGAGCTACTGTGTAGCCAGTACTATCTTTATAATTTGCAAGTTAGCCTCGGTTCTCATATTTTCAAGTTAAGACCGATGAAGCCTTTGCTTCACATTTCACAGCTAGTCCATTTTCTTGACAGTTATAGAGGCCCAGTCACTTCCTTGTATCGTGTGTTGGAATTACAATTAGTAAATACCATGTGATCAGAAGAAGCCCACGAGGCCCTACCAAAGTGAATCAAGCTCTGAACTTGAGTTCTCAGCTCTGAACTGTTGGGCATTTGCTCCATCCATGTTGTAGTAGAAACTTTAAATTTCTAGTACTTACAAAGGATCTCCGATAAATTCTGGGATTTAACTTTGTCATTACAATAGCTGGGTTTGAATGAGATCACTAAACTGGAGAGTTTGTTTCTCTGACAACAAAACATTTTTGAGCAACTGGATTAAGTTCAAAGGCCAGACTTGGGACACATATGACTTGATGCTGTAATTAGGCCTCCGTAAGTAGACAAACAAGAGGAAAGTAAGAGGCTTCCACAGGCTTGAGATAGCAGGGGTGCTGGTCAATATATGAAAACCACACTATTGTATTAGGCTTCAATTTTGCTTTTGCTTATTTTACCTTAAAGCTCATTGGGAAAGTGAATTTCCTAATTAGCAACGTGAAATATTTATGAGAGCTGAATATAATACAAGTTTTGATCATATGCCAACTACATGGAGCATGTTAGTTTCTGCTTTAAAGAAAGGCAGATAGAGTCAGGAATGTGGTGTATTCATTGCCAGGGATCAATAATGGGAGGGTTTGCTATTTGAATTTATCTGTACAATGATTTATCAGAGAGGTCTGCACTTTGGCTGATAACTTCTTAGTGTCTGATGACGGGAGAATGTAAAGCTTTCTGTTTTGAGTATATTCATGGGTGATGTAATGGTCACTGACATGGTTGTTAACATGGCTTTAAGATCACCATAGGAATATGTCTCTCTATGAGTATCTGTGGAGATATTTCAAGAAAGGTTGATGATGCCAGGTGGTGGTGGGCATGTGCCTTTAATCCCTGCACTCAGGAGGTGGTATAATCCTATGGGCTAGGGTTCCAGACTGAAGAAATAGGGCAGAGAACTGAGCAACAGCATTCACATTTGCCTGCTTCCTAAATGTGGATGCCATGTGACCAGCCCCTCCCATTCCTACTGCCAACCTTTTCCTGCCATGACTGACACTATCTCCTCAAACTACGAGCCAAAATAAATCCTTCTCAGTTACACACACACACATTTCCATATGGATTCTAACTCCAATTACATTAACAATGAAAATTAACTATGACGGGGATGAATACCAAGGATATGATATGTACATCGATTTCAAATGTAGAAGAACCCATGAGATAGTGAAGCTGTTTATAAACTAGTCATTGTCCTGTGGAGAATAAACGGTGTTTACTTGTCCCTAGCACGTATGCAGAGCACTGCCATTGAGTTTTCATTATATCTTAAATTTTTCTAATATTTATTTTTTTCGTTGTTTTTCAAGAAAGGGTTTCTCTATGTAGCGTTGGAGCTTGGACCTAGCTGGTCTTGGACTCACAGAGATCTGCCTGTGTCTGCCTCCTCAGTGCTGGGATTAAAGATGTGTGCAACCACTGCCCAGCTTAAAAATATCTTGTGAGGTATCTTTTGACAGGCCACATATACTTGAAGTAACCAAGTGCTGTTCATGTCTCCCACTACCTGGGCATGACCAATTCTTGGGCTGGGAGTTCTGTTGGTAGGGTCCCAAGACTATCTTTCACAGTAGTACCTTCCTTATCCATTGTCACCATTGCTCCTGTCTGTTTGTGATATGCTCGTGTAAAGAACATCAGTATCTATTTTATTTTATCTTTGATGAAAAGAGGCTATTAATTTTCCCTTTTGTGATATTGGTGGTGGCACAAGTCACTGATGCACAGTGTGTAACAGAACAACAGAAGGCTACATAAATGCAGGCTCCATTGTTGTAGCATTGTGTGTGTCTGTTTTTCCTGTTTTCTGTGACGAACAGCTTGTTGCTCCTAGGCCTATCTTTTTGTAGTGTCCTCAAGGAGTCTTACAACATCTTGGTTTAAGATCATCAGAAGTGGCTACATTGTTTTCAATATTAAAATAATAATGATAGAAATTTGTGTATGACCAAATAAAAGTAACACCTTGGGTTTTTAAGTCAACAAACTTTAGTATCTGTGAATTTGATACCTGTTCGTATGACTTAGGAAAATGTGAATTTGGTATCTGTTATGATGAAAAAGCTCTCTATTTTAAAGAGAGGGAGACAAATCACCATGCCTTGCATGGCTCCAGGGATGGACCTGACTGGGGTGGTGAGGGAAAGAAGGAAAAACAGACAGACTTGACACATGGAGAAAAACTGGGTTTGTGTGGGCTGGACTCTCGGCTGGAGAGCCCTCAGCACCCAGAAGTGAGGGTGTTTGTTACGTAAGGTGAACAGGGAGGCAGAGTTAGTTATTCCATATAGATACACAAGGAAGGCCAGGCTTAAAGGGTGCAACTGGATGTAGCAGGCAGGGTGAGCTAATCTCAGGAGGAGCAGCCTCTGTAGGGGAGTGGTCTCTGTCTGTAAGAGAGCAGTCTTCCAGGCTATAAATATCCTGGGGAAGGAAGTCATGGTAGACATTTTGTGCACTCACTATCAACAGGGACATGGATGCCTGGGGAAGGCCTTTACATTTCCTCCTGAGTCTCGCCCCCTAGTGGGTGTGCCTGAGGTGACAGAGCCTATGAGGTGACCATGTGCCCTGTCATCAGCACACATTTATCCAGCTCTTCCTCTGCACCCTAAAAAATAGTGGTCTCTATTTCTGCAAATTTCTCTTCTAGGTAGAATGATTACTGGGGATTGTATCCATCCGAGAAGATTGAGTGCAAAAGATCCCTTCCCAGAGTTACCAAATGCCATAGAAAAGGGACGCAGTCCTTTGAGTCCTACAGACACAGGCTACTTATACAAACAATCATATTACGTGAAGAAAATTGCTCCCCATATCAGATTTTTGATGCATTTGAATCTTTATTCTACAACACAAGCAACATAAATACGGTATCTTTTAAAATATTTTCTCTTTAGAATTCGCTTTTCAATTCAGATAAAATGTACACAAAACACACTTGCAAGCTTGCTTACAGAGACCTGGAAAACAGTGAACTGACAGATTATATCAAACCAAACAGATCAACACTTTGAAGGAGAGTGGTTTTCAGGACTTTGTAAATATGAAGGTGGCTAAATAATAAGTCAAAACAAAAATGATACTTCCTTGACAAGGCCTTTGGAGAAAACAAAAGAATTCAAGGCTCCTGGTGAATTGGTTGCAAGGATGAATTTTCCATCTTAATAGGTAAAATGGTAAATATACTCAATCATTATGGCTATACATAGCTTTGTTTATTCATAATTTTTAATGAAAATAAGTTCATTCTTTGGTATAATACAAAAATGGATAAAAGGAATTCTACTCCCTAGTGGTTGTATCGCAAGTGGGGATAAGAGTAGGGAAACTGTCCAGAATGTAAATGGTTTATTCCTCTTAGAAAATCATTGCAAAGTATAAGTCATTTGGCATGATTAGAGGAACAAATATTTGAGGTTTAGCTTTCTACCTTACCCCAAAACACGCACACACACACCCAAGAAAGAAAAGAAACCTTTCCTTCCAGGTACCCCCTCCTACCCCTATCAGACCACACTGGATAATCCTAAACACAGGAAAGAGAAATCCCAATCACCAAACCATTCATCTTTGACTAAAAGTAGTGACATAGCAGGAAACTGATTTCAAAATGGACTGGAGGAGAGGACTGTACAGCAAACAGTGGCAGAGGGTGAGCACAGACCTGAGGTGGGTTTGGATGGTCACTGGTAGCTGGTGGTATCAAGGGCTTAAGCCTCCATAGATCTGAGAGAGACAACCTAGATTGGCTGTCAGGTTCTCCCTCCTCCTTTTTGGTGACAGATGATGAAACAGTTTGGAAACAAATTTCTTGTAGAGATCAAGTTTTAAAATGCAATTGAAATCAGAATCAAAGGAACTATGTGCATACGTTTTAAATTGTTATGGGAAATAATAAAACAACTCACTTATTTTCAACTACCCTTGACACCATTACCGTTCTGATGATATGCTTTCACTGATGTCAAGGACCTAGCATGATTGCCTTCTATTCAAACAATAGTCTAAATGATGTAAATATAAGCCTTATTGGGTCAATGGGAATTATATGGAATTAATATAGTTTATAAATGGGTACTATTTAGAGTACTTAATTACTTTTCTCTTGAATCCTTGAATGGTCCTCTTTTTTCCCCTTCATGTTTCTTTCCTTATTATTTATTTTTGAGATGAAATCTCACTATGTTGTCCAGGAAAGCCTGAGGAGCTAGAATTACATTAGTAGATTTTTAATTTACTTGGGTGTTTAATTTAATAAAAACAAAGATTATCAGTTCTTCCTCTTCCTATTATATGGCTCTTATGTCTTAATCAAAAATGAATTTTAAAGCTAATTAACTGAGCAAGAGTGTTACAATATAAACAAAGGCCCCATCTGTATTTGGGTTAATATTTCACTAGACTCTCAAAGTACATAGGTTGACTTTTCTATATGTTCCATCATGTGGAATAAGAATTAGTTTACATTGTGCCAATCGCTTTAGAAACACAGTATTTACTGAAAAGTCAAGACAGGCATATCTACTGTTCAAAAGGAATTGTTTCATTTTGAAAATTTTCACAATAGACTCATTACAGATAAACATGAAACTAAAATACTAACTAACACCACACAGTTAAGTGAAAGACAAGGGTGCCACCAGAAGTGTCATAGCATTTTGAAATGCTGATATGTTAATGACCAATCCAAGATGTAATGTAAATGACAAGCAAGCAACTAAACACCTATGTATGTCAGGAGCCAGGCGATAATGGAGCCATACATGGAAACATCTCATTAAAATTATATAGAAAAGAATGCAAATATTATATAAATTTAATTACCTTCAGTACAAGTCAAAGGGTCAACAGGATACAAACAATCATTCACAAAATTAATGTTTCTAAATACAAAGACAAGAAACTTGGACTTAACTCACTGCTCCATACAACATATACATTCATTGTCTTCTAGTGTGTAAGAATCAATTGTTGATATAATAAAACTGGGAGGGGTAAACTGGAATGTTGAAGTAATCTAATCCCAAGCTGTCATGGTCAGTTCAGCTTAGTGTTCAATAAGTCAGGTTGATTGGAAAGTAAATGATTTCTAGCCTGTAATTCCCAGAGCAGAGCAATGGCTTCACCTGGGAGCTTGCTAGAAATGCAGATTGCCAAATGTAGAGAATCAGAAACTGGGCATCTGTGGTTTAACAAACCCTTAGGTGGGTTTGGATGCATGGTAAAAGTTTGAGAACCACTGTTCTTCAGACAAAAGAAACTAGACACCCTTGGCTCAACCACCAGGACAGGAACTCACAGAGCAAAAAAGTTCTTGAGATTTGAAGGAACTCGACTGGGTGGGACCTTGACTGTTGAGGCCAGTCAGTCCCTTCTCCCTGGAACCTCTCTGTATGATGATACACAGATACAGTGAAAGATTTTGTAGGGTGCAATTGATGTCATAGTGTTTCTTTTCTTTTATTAGTAAGAGGTATCCTGTTCATAAGGAGACTAAGCACTGTTCTCAACTTAGCGTCTTCTGAGTAATCTTGGTGTGTATGATTTTTTTGTCTGTTTTTTCCTAAAGTAATGTGTTCATATTCCGAACATCTAAATAATGTTTCTATTTCAACATGCCAATGAAATTTTTTAGGTACCTTTATATCAATTACAAACACTATGAGATAGCCGGAACAGGGGGAATGTCTTAAAAACAACCTTTTAGACTGCTCTACTATGAATAAGAGGGATGTATTTTCCCAGAGGTCATAATTATAAATCAAGCTTTTTATCAATTTTATAAATCTCCCCAATTTCAATTAAAAAGTGCTCAAATGTTTCTTTACTGTTCTAAGGCCTCTCTAAATCTTTCTGGGACATACATTTGTGTCCTCATGTTACTGCAGGATGCTGGAGTCTTTCTCTCTTCCCTCACCTATGGGAGTAAGCAGAAATGTTGGGGTGGGGCACGTGGTTCCAGATATTGTCCTACCTGGAATATAGGTCTATCTTGTACAAGTTGCTGTTTCCTGTTCAGAGGATGTTCACATTTTTTGAGAAGGATTTTTCTGTGTATCTCCAAGCTTTGATGGTGACCTGTAGGCTTGGCGCTTGCCACAGAAGGTGGCAAAGGAGCTCAATTGGTTACAGGGCACTTTGTTGATTAAATGATATGTAAAACGTTTCATGAATTACACATGCCTATGCAGGCTGCCGTGTTTCTCTGCATTTACAGTCAGTCAGACATGGCAGTACTCATTGTTTCTCTCTAATATTACTGAGTTTTTAATGAAACACTAAATGTTTTCTTTAGGGCTAAGGTTTATATTTTGATATCCTTTATGTTCCCATTATATAGGCATTACTTTCAAGCCTTACTTTTAAAGTCCATAGAATACTCCAGATAGAGCTGTGAAGTAAATATTTTCATTTTAAGCATCGAAGGAAGGCATCAGAGTTTTCCCATGCTCTCCTGCTGCGGAGCTTACACAGTCCTGCCAGCTCAGCAACTGGAAAGTGTGGTCTTTGTGTCCAGGGGATACCTCTCTGTAAACAACTTTGTCTTCTATTATCCTGAGCAAATGATGAACCTCTCTGGATCTGTGAACTTAACTGGGGAAAAACTAAGAAGGTTTTATAAAGTGACCAGTGTGTCATCTCTTTCAACAAAGACCTTCATTCTATTTAGTTTGGTGGCGCTGATAACAGATTTTTACATTTTTTTCAGCAACTATTTATATTTATGAATATTTGTCTGCGTATATGTATGCGTATCATGTGTGTGCCTGGTGCCCCCACAGGCCATAGGAAGGCACCATATTCCCTGAAATTGGAGTAAGAGATAGTTACGAGTCACCATGTAAGTGCTGAGAACCAAACCCAGGTCTTCTGCAAGAGCAGCAAGTTCTCCGAATCCCTGAGCCATCTCTCCAGCCATAGGTTTTCTAATTAAAAAAGGAATTGGTCCTATTTAAGTAGTACTGTTCTCTATTTGGGCAGACAGTGGATCTGTATTACCTGCCTGTAATTAAGGCTGTTGGACTCTCTCCATTGACTTCGGAAGTACTTTTTTTTTTTTAACCATGAAGGCTGTATCGATCATCATACCAGGAAATTAAGTTAAAAGGACTTTGGAGTCAGGCTCTTAAACTGCAGTCCAGGCTGTTCTGGAACTCACTCATGTTGGCCTTAAACTCATCACATTCTTCTTGTTTTCTTAGCCTCTCCAGTGCTGGGACTAAATACAAGTCTGGCTTGATTTAAATGTTTTAATCTGAGCTATAATGTTAGCATCTTCCTGAGTTGTTTGTGACTAAATTACCTAAAACGGTAAAATTTTGCATTCATGGAGAAAGGTAGGTCTATCATGGAGGGAACAAGAAGACAGTGTGTAAAGAGACAGTCTAAACGTCTTTAAAAGCTGAGAGCTGCAGGAGCTAAGTGAGGCTTTGCTGTCAGTCTAGGAGCCTTCCACTATTAAATTTGATTCCTTGCTCTGCAGGCTGTCATGTAGCCCAGGCTAGCTTTAGATCCCCTATGGGGCTGAGGATGCCTTTGATTTTCTATCTTCCTGCTTCTACCTCCTGAGCACTGGAGTTATGGACATGCACCATGCTGGGATGATACATGATACAGAGGCACCATGCTGCCTGGTTTATGTGCTACTGGATTGCTTGTCTCATGATGCAAGGGTTTCTAAGAAAAAGAGGGAAAAAATCTCAACCTCAAGCAATAAAACTTTGGCATTAAATATAAGCAACTAGAAGCAATGTGTAAAACACTGTGCTGATGACTGTTTTAAAGTTCAAAAGCCCACTTTAACCTTGACCTTCAGCCTAAGTGACTAGGGAAGAAAACACTGGTTCCACTCAGATGATGAAAGTCATGAGGGAGGGACCGTTGGGCATCCACGGTGCCTAATTACCTGTCTTTTTCTCACCCGCAGGACGATTTAACTGATGTGCTACTCCTTGGTCATTATTGTTCATTGAGCAATGTTCCATTTGAAACTATAAGTATCTGCACCTGGCTGGACTCTGGAGGATGGAGAGGTCTTTCCTGGAGCTTTGGAGGTGGCCTAAAAACAACGTGGGACATGGAGGGGACTCTCAGAGGATGACGGGAGGATCTGCCAATATTTCCAGCATTGCAGGTAAGGACATCGTGGGTCCAATATTGGCCACACCTCATCCTTTTATTCTCAGACCATAGTTAGGATGCTAGAGAACACTCTTGCAAGCTTTTATAGCCAGTCTGTGGGAGAGCAGTGTCTACTTCTGGGACATATGTACAAGGAAACTGGCTTTGACACTTCATGAAAGGTCACATTTTGTGACATACTGTAATTCTGTAATCCGGTTAACTGCAGTTCTCTTTCAAGTACAGTGAGGTACTTATAGGCTGACCAAGAACAGATTCCCCCAAAGAATCTACAAAATTCAACAGCTAGGGCACACTGCTTTTGTTTACAAAGACAAAACAAAGCAAAATCTTTAACTCTCAGCTACATATACAAGGTATATAAAATCTAAAGTTATAGATAAAATAATTCACTGTTTATTCAAACAAATTGGTGAGAGCTGGGGATACAGCTCAATGGTGGAGAACATTGGTGTGACTTGCATGGGATCCTGGTTCGATTCCCAGCACTAGGAAACAGAGAATCCAAAACATCTGTTTGGATCACTTTTTAAACTTGAATGATTACCCAAGTTGAATGAATCGCTGTCTCAGAAAGCAGAGGTTGTTTTGTGGGAAATGTCCTCTAGACTCTGTGATTGGTTTAGGTGGCATGCTGAATGGGGATTTCTTATTGACCACCCAAACCAGCCAACACACCTTGCTTTGACCTTGCAGATAGCTACGTAGTTCTCATGGAGGCAACATTTATGAATATTGTCACCAGATAAAGTTCAACCCCCCCAGTAGGTCCTTCAATGCTGAAGAGTCAAGTTTTATCTTTAGAGAATGACATATGAATACATTTCTTTTTAGGCACTGGGGAATTGCCACATATGCCTCAGTAACTAATCGTACACTGTAGTGTGTAAGTGGGTTTGTCTGAAAAGCTTTAGTTATTTAGTTATTGTTGTAAGAAATGTATAAAATATGTGGTAAGGGCTGTGGGGAAGCTCAGTGTTTCCTATGTATGAGGGATATTTCTAACCCCCCAATAGATATGGTTATATGTTTCAAATTAATTTTTAATAACCTCAGAAAAAGAAATATCCACCTAAAATATTGGTCTAGATAACATGAGTTAAAATAGTAAATCTGCTAGAGAGAGGTGTTTTATATAGAAAAAAATAGTTTTCTAAATTCATGTGTCCCTTCCCATTCAGTCTAGAGTTTGTATAGCTGACACCATCATTTCACAATTGCATTGTAGTTGAAGGCTTACAGCGATTCTATCAGAGTCCCCAGCCCACCCCTTCCAGCTGTATCCCCATCCCACACTTCTTGCCCCTCCCCTGAGAAGTATGCTCACCAGATGGAGGACTCCAAGTTCATTTCCTCCAAAGGATACTGATATAAAATGAATTGCATCATAATCTTTCTTGAAATATGAGTGTCATACCTTACCTTCAGATAACTGTGGGGCATAGAAATGGCTGTGCAACAAAAGACTAAGGCACCATTTTTCTTTGTCTGCCTTGGGGACAGAAGCAAAGACTCATGGGACACAGGGCAGTCAGAATCAAGTCTTGTGACAGTGCGCACCAACGGGTGCTTAAATTGCTGCCGAGCCACAGACTTAAACATCATGCTAGGAAAGAATTTCCTCCCTTTAGAAACAGAGAAACAAAGGCACAACAGTACCTTACCTCGGGGAATTATGAATATTAACCTGAAACCCTGAACAACTTAGGAATAATGTCGAAATGTTCCTGAATATATTTTGGAAGTCATTTTGTTTTACTTGATTAGACACTGGAAAAATACACTTTTGTAGGTTTCTTCCCATCCAAACTATTATCAGAATATAAAAATTCTTCTGATTAATTATGTCTGGTGCTAGATATATGAATATGTATCAGCTTGACTTAACAGCAAATGCTTTCTTGGGACTTACATTGAGTTTTGAAAATAATGAATAAAATGGATCAGCCTGGGGCTTGTAAAGGAGAGTTGTTGCAAACGACCCATTTGGGTATAACACTGCAAGCAAATGCACTTGGAAATTAGGTTTTGATTTAGAAATGTATCAAGGAATGCAGACTCTCCTGTAACAACGTGCCAGGCCAGAGATCACCGTGTCACTTGGATGCCATTTTAGCATCCAGACTAGCCCAAAGCTGACTAATTAGGGAGAGCTTGGAAAAAGCTTTGTTACTAGGTGTCAGAGAACTAGTTTCTCAGAGACCTAGTTTGAGTGGACTGGTGGTAGGGAAAATGCAATCAGTTGGATGGACAGGCTGACTCTGGCCATAGGGATTTGAGTCCTCTAAATGATGATATCATAGACACGGCCCACTCTTCCCAGCCATTCCCTTACAGCTTGACGGACTCTGATGTCAGTCACATGACAGGTCAGCTGGCTGATGCACGGGAACACTGCTGGCTGGAGGGCCGTGAATGTCTGGTCTGGAAGGATTTGAATCTGATTGAGAACTGTTAGCACCATGTTGGTCCACGCCTATGAGAAAGGATGGAAGAGAATTAATGGTGGTCTTATGGTTTTGCACGGCAGTGCTCTTAAGCTCTGTAAATGGTTTCCTCAGATAATGTGCCTGTAATAATCTGGTTTTCTCATCACATATTGAAGGATGGGAAGAGAATCATCTAACGCGAGGTATATTTTTTCTCTTTTCTTTTTTTCAGATTTTTAAAAAATTTAAATTAGAAACATGCATGCTTCAAATGTCAATCCCAGCTTCCTCTCCCACCCCTCCTCCCTTGTCCCTCCACCAGCCCAGTACCCACATCATTCCCCAGGGAGGGTGAGGCCCTCCTTGGGGGATCTCCAGAGTCTGTCATTTCATCCAGGGCAGGACCCAGGCCATTCCCCATGTGTACAGGCTGAGAGAACATCCTTCCACATGTGGAAAGTTCATTTGTATGCCATGGTGAATACTAGTCTACTACCCAAGGGCCCAGAGATTTCTGAGGCCTCCCACGAGAAATATCTTACAGTTAGCTTTCACAAACTGTTAAGAATAAAAATGCAGAAAGGAATGTCCATGGGGCATTGATAATTCAATTAACTGTCTGCTATCACTTGGGATAATTCTACCTTAATTTAGGAGAAGATTTTAAATCATTAAAACCCCAACACATTTAAAAGTGATTAAGATACAAGGTTCACCAAGAAACTTATAAACAAAAGAATAAACAACTATCTCATGGTTACCGGGTACTTAAAAAAAAAGAACCAACCTTTAAAAACAACCTAGTCTAAACCATGAATGACACTCAGGATAGAGGCTTTGACTTGCATGCATGGAGTCTTGGGTTTAACCCCTAGTACTGAAGACACTAGCAAACTTGCGCCAAGACTCTAGTAAAGGGCTTTATCTAGAGTCTCCCTAGTTCTTTCTGTTTCCTCTTATGCTGAATAAACACTACCAATTCTGTCTCCCCCTCAACCTCATCTTGATGTTCTATATATGTGCCCAAGATGGTTCAGATAGTTCACTTTAACTGGCAGCATCCACCCTGGCTTTTCCCTTATGCAACACTGCTTCAGAACTACAGAATATCCTCAGCACCATATTCAAATGACAAAAGGAAGGCTCAATGACAGTTAAAGCCCATCGATTTGTTTTTAATCAGTGTTAGCATCTTATTTATACAGGGACTTCCCACTTCTCAGTTTTGTGTCATGATAGAGAAAAATGATTTTTTAAAAATGGTCTGAGAAAAAAATGTTTCTCAGGCAGATGCCACAGCCTAGGTCCAGTCATTCTGGCTTGGAGGTATGATTTTATATCACCTGCTATGCATCGGATCTGTCTGTGTTACGTCCACAGCATATAGGTCAAATATAGACGAGGATTACTGTGACATTATGATATCTGTCTCCACGTCCTCTGTGTGGTCATTGCAGGACTGACTATACCTAGTTTAGGGAGGGGCTGGGACTATAACCCAGGGCTTCCTGCATGCTAGGCAAGCCCTCAGTCATCTCAACTCCATCCCCCATTTCCCTTGCTGGTTTTACATCTTTGAGGGTACAGGCTTTGCAAGGGGGGACACCTCTGGTATCTACAACTCGGGAAACTGCTATAGCTGGACTCACCTGGATCTGTGCCTCTGCGTCTCGCACCGAGACACTCAGGGAGCTCCCGGTGGAGCCTGAGCGGGGTCTCTTCTCCTGCCGCAACAGCTCTGGGCCTGCACTGAAGGAATGGCGCATCTGTCCTTGGTCCATGAGATGCTGTGGCCGCTGAAGCAGCGGGGAATCAGGACCCCGAGGCCCCAGGGGCTCGCCCTTCTTATCTGCCTTGACTTCCTTGGGGAAGGCAGGCAGGTTGTGCGGCTGCCTCCTCTTCTTGTACTCGGTCATCAGCTTTGAGATGGTTTTGTCGGCAGCCATGGTGCAAATCTTGTTCCCCGCGCTCTCCCACCACTCTTTCTTGCGGCCAGGATCCTTCTTCTCTGTCTTGGGACTGGGGGGCAGCATCAGCACGTCCCCACTGCCCACCCTCAGACTTAGGGGCTCACTTAGATGCTCTCTGCGGTCATCTTCCGAGGGCGTGTTTTTCCCGGAGAAGCCACCCGTGGATGGTGTGGACGACTCAGACTGGAAGGATGGCAGGATGAAGAACGGGTCGCTTTTGAAGGCGGGAGGCTCCTCTAAGCTGCTCTCCAGGTCCAGGTGCATCTGGATGTAGTGGTTACAGAGCTCCATGCACAGCTTGTGTAGCCTCTTGACCAGCCACACCCAGTCTGCATTGCTCACCGGCTGCACGCTGAGCGACGGCAGGCGTGCCCTCCATTGCCTTTTCTCCTTGCCTCGCGGAGGGCTCACCTGCGCCGTCTCCTCAAAGATGTCTTCATCCTCCGATGAGCACTGTTGGGAGGAATCGGAGCTCCTCTCCTCCTCGTCGAAGAGGACCTTCTTCACCTGCTCGGCAGTGATGGTTTCTTGGTTGGTGAGAACTGCGCAAACCAGGGCGTGAAAGTAAATGTTAAAGCTCATGGCAGACTGGCGGTACAGGTTGGCGGCGCCTCCGATGCCGGACACTTTCTTCAGCAGACACTTCAGTCCTGGGCTCGTGTCGAATTCTCGGGCAGTCCTGTAGGAGTCCAGCAGCAGGTCAAATATCACAGCCAGGTTCTGCATGGAGATGTATCTGAGAAAGCCAGCCAGCTTGGTGTCTGGCACTTGCACCGTCGTCTTCTCCTCTCCTGGAGAGGGGCCTTTGACAAACTCTTCCAGCAGGACGTCATACAGGTTCTGGAGCAGTACTTGGTGAGAAAGCAAGCTCACCACGATCTCCCTGAAAGAAACACTTCAAACACAAAGACAGGGCATGGTTAGCGGCTTTCTGCCTTTTCCATTCTTTCATAGCAAGGTTGGCACGATCCACTTCAGACATGTGACACTCCAAACTAAATCCACTGTGTTCCAAAATTATTTTTGATTATGTATCTGCATACATGCTGCATACATGGAGACCAAAGGACAGTTTACTTCTACCACCATGTGACTACAAGGGATCTAACTTAAATCATCCAGGCTGACTGCAATCACCTTTACCCACTAAGCCATCTTACCTGCTCCTTAATATCCACCTTTAAAAGGGTTAAACCTCCATTTAATCATGGCTGATAGAATTCCTGGCACTTTTTAAAATCCAGGAGCTGTAGACTGTAAGTTAAGACACTGAATTGTCAAGGCATGGGAAATAAACTAGACACCTTCATAAAAATTACATATAAAAGACAGGACACTCCTAACTCTTCCAACTTTCTACCCTGTTTTCTTACACACACACACACACACACACACACACACACACACAAATCTTACTGATTTATTCTTGATATCAAGACAGTTTTCAAGGATCAAATGCTAATACTTTAGGTGCTGAAAATTTTCTGCTACTGCTATTATGGTGCTGACATTACAAAATGAAAAAGTAAATTGATAATGTAAGTAATAGACTTCTACAGGAAGCCTGGGAAAGCAGCATTTACTCAAATTCATTATCTGCCAATTTGGCCATTGGGACTGTGGCACAAACCTTGTGTGGTCATTTAATTTCTCTGAGCCAATTTTCAGGGGAGCTATGTGGGGCTGAGAGATGAGGGAGGCCTCATCATCCCTATACATCAGTTCAGGACATCTGGCTGAGGGATGGGCAGGTAAGGAATGACAATCCCATACTTTCCTAATCAAGTTAACGATTCAGATAAGGTAGTTAATATGTAAATGCTCAAATGCTTGCTTTGGATGCCTTTTTGTACTGAGAAAATGCTTTCTATTTCAGGCACTACATTTACTACTTTAATTGACCAGTGTGGTTTGTGGTTCAATGTTCTTTTCATTGCTCCTAGAATTTTATGAAAATAGCTTATACCATTATATTGACTACACCATTATATGCCAACTAATTCCTGTAAATGATAAAAGGTCCGGATTTTTTTTTTTAAAGACAGGATCTTATGTAGCCTAGACTGGTCTTAAACTTGCTGTGTAGATGAAGGTGGATGGGCTTAACTCCTGATCTCCTGTTTCCAACTCCTAAATGGTGGTACTATAGACATGAATCACTCAGCCAGACTAGGACTCACCATCTTGTCGGTATTTTCTTGCTTTAGTCTGCTCTACTATGGACTCAAATTTTAAAATTATTTCTATATTTAACAAAAACTAGTGCTTAAGCTAGCAGAAAAGAACAAAAGTCATCCATTATTTTAAATACTGACTTTTCACTTCATGTGAAATACCATGACTCTCATTAAAGATGAAATGAACAATAAGGGGCTGTCACTCCAAATCAGTAGCCCTGTCAGACAGCTGAACATTGCACATACACATACATACAACGCATTGTCTTTTAACTATACAGTTCAGTGGTGTTGAGTGTGGCCACTATGCTGATATAAACATCACTGTCTCTCTAAAACCTTTTCAGCATCTCATGCAGAAACTCTGTACTTTAAAAAAACTCATCCTCCGCCTGGTTCCTATTTAGATCGTGTTTTGATAAGTTGCTCAGTATTAGTGAACTTGAATATCTGCTCCTCTGCAGAAGGTTCTAGAATCTACCTGTCCTTGTTAGCATTAGGGGTCACCTTGACAAGTGTCTAGAATTATCTGATAAGAAGTTTGAATTGAGTAACTTGTCTTTATTCGATTGATCTGTGGACATGTGAGGGGTTGCATTGACTGAATTGTAGGAGACTCCAGCTCACCGTGGGCAGCACTGTTTCCTAGGCTGGAAGTCTTGGGTAAAGAGAAAGTTAAGCATGAGCCTGTGAGAGCCAACAATTTATGGTTTGTGATTCTAGTCCCTCTTCTGACTTCCTTCAATGGTGAACTATGATCTGGAAGTATGAGCCAAAGAAACCCTTTCTTCCTTGAGTTGCTTTGGGCAGGAGTGTTTTAATTACAGAAACAAGAAGGAAACTAGACACTACCAATTTGGCCTCAGTGCTTCAAGTCTACAACTTCAGGATCCAAACTAAGAAGGTAAATCCTTTACATATATGCTCAGTTTTCTATTATCTGTACTTGGCAGTACTATCCTCAAGAGGAAGGGCAGTATCTTTTTCATTATCTCCAACATATAGACAGTGATGACCTACATATAAAAACTGATATTGGAGAAGCAGGAGCTAGAATTGGGGGAAAAGTACATGGGATACTGTTAAAGTTCTCTTTTGTGTGACTGGCTCATGAATATATTACTTTTCATGTTCCATAAGTTGAATATATATATACATATATATACACACTATATATATTTCATGTATTCTTCTGTGTACAACAAATACTAGCTAAAATATTCCATGGAAATTTCACCTAAATGGTTATAGTATTCAAATGGCTACATTATCAAGCTGTTAAGCAATTATCCAGAGCCTGTGCAATGGTAACGACTGCCTTTGTCCAGGTTGCTATAGTGACATCCCACAGCTTGGGCTGTTTTATAATCAAAGAGGCTGCTTTCACACTGTTTGGAGGTTGGAAGTCTGAGAATAGCACATCAGTATGGCTGGACTCTGGCAAGGGTGAGAACGCAGTATCCGTATGGCTGGACTCTGGGAAGTGCTTTCTGGTGGCTGTAGATTGGTGACAAGGGAGCACTCGTGTTTCTCTCAGAGGAATTAATCCCATTCCTGAAGGGCTCAGATCTCATCATTTACCAAAGGCCTTAACATTCTAATTGTAACCTGGGGAGTTAGGACTAAAATCCAAGTTTGGGGGAATGCCAATCCAAGTCCATTGCACCAACTTGCTCCCCAAAGTGATGAAGGGCGGAGGTCTTGACCAAACCTTGTTTTGCTTCCGGCTTTCTCACTTGTTGGCTGTATACTCTTGGATATGTAACTTGGCTTTTCTTGTCCTTATGGGTTAAATGCATGTGGGATAGTATCTGCTGTACCTAAGCCAGGCAGCTTTGAGTCTGACTCCAAGGATTTTCAGGCAGGATGATAGCGTTTAAAAGGAGAAACTTTTTTCCCCTCCTGTAAGACATGAATCTTGTTGCCTTTTGATTGCAGAGTTCAATGTATATTATTCATTGAAATGATCTGAACTGTGCCAATCTGAAACATGGTAGCTAACTGTATTTTAAAGAGTCTTGTTATGATGCCTGGCTGATCTTGGACTCCTGGGCACAACTGATTGTCCTAAAAAGTTAGTACCCTTTAAATAAAAGATTATTATTACACTATGATTTTATGAACTGGGTTGTATCCTGTCTAAATGCCTATGTTGAACTCCTAATTCCTAGCCAGAATAGGTATTTACAGGAAGGGTCTTCAAGGAGGTAATTAAGTAAAACTGAGGTCATTTGGGTGGATCTTAATCCACTATGTATACATCCTTTGCTAGAGGAGATCTGTATAAAAAAACAGAGAGGAGACAGCATGTGTGGAATCAGAATTCAGCCAGCCACAAACCTAAAGGACAAGTCCCACCCACACTTTGGCCTTGACTTTTAGCCTTCAAGACCTACATCTGTGAGGTCAGTCACCTAGTCTGTGGCTGTTCCTTATGGTAGACTAAACAGCATACATTTCATGTGTGAAATGTGGTTGAAAGGCTCACCATTTTTACGAAAACCTTTGCTAGATGAGTCCACAGTGCTGTTAGTGTTCCTAGCTGAAGCCTGGATCAAAAAGAGTAAGAAGAAGTGGGAATGGATGAGCTTTCTGTGTTTACAGTAGCGTACCTTTTCTTGGCGTGCCCATTTGGTTTCTCATCAGGAGGCAGTTCAATGATGAGCTGGCAGGACTGAGCATGATCGAAGTTGTTTGGGGTCTTTGGTGAGCCCTGGGTGTCCAACATAAACACCTGCAGGGACATACAAAGGGACAGTTCAGAAGTCACACCTACCACCTCCATTGATACTTTGCCAGTGGCCCTGGGAAGCAGTTTATTCTCTACGCATGTCTTTACTTATAAAGAGGGTGACAAAGGCTTCCACCTGATGAAGTACATTGATACATGTTTATTCCATATGTAGAGCATTGTAACAGCAAATAATAACCACTAATAACGCTATTACTTCTGTCACATGTTAGTTAATTACACTCCAAGTACTGACACTAAGTAGTAATAACAGACACGGGGTGGGGGGTACTAGTGTGCTTTCTAATGTTGTGATACACTCTGTGACCAAAGCAACATGGGGAGGAAGGAGTTAATTTCATCTTACAGTGTTCAGCTCACAGCCCATCATGGAGAGAAGTCAGGGCTGGGACTCGAGCAGGAACCTGGAGGCAAAAACTCAAGCAGAGGCCATGGAGGAAGCTGCTTCCTGGCTTTGTTCCATGGTTTGCTCAGCCTGCTTTCTTATAGGCCCAGAACCACCAGTCCAGGGGTGGCTCCACATCAGTTGTCAATCAGGAAAATGACCCACAGACTTGGTTACAGGCCAATCTGCAGGAGATGTGTTTTCAACCAAGGTTTCCTCTTTCCAGATGATCCTATCTGTGTCATGGTGGCAGAAAACTAACCAGGATACAAGCTACATTTGTGAAAGCTCTATAGCCCAAGCTAGCCTGAATTCAAGGTCCCCCTGCTGGACTGACAGACATTAGCCCCCATGCTCAGCTGTTGTTTTTATAGTCTACCACATGCTTGCACACAGGTGGAAATGCCATAGTGTATCCATGTGAGAAACTGAACCAAGCGCCGCAGCTTCCAGCTCAGACAAGCCGTCCCTGACGAGGGCTGCCTTGGCTTTGCTCCAAGCCCAACTTGTTGCTGCAGCTGGCCACGGTTGCCATACTGTTGCTGAGGCTCCTCAGGTCAGCCTTCTTTTCTTCTGTCCCTTCTTCTGCAGACACACTGTGGCTGCTTCCTAGGGACGTGCCTCTTCCTTTCAGAACTTACGGTCATGTCCCAGGATTATGAGTGTGCTCAGCAGGTGAGTTAAGAAGCTGAACATGGAAGACTCTTCCTTGTCTCCTCAGCTGAGCACTGCTGGGGGAAGTCCTTCAGAAGCAACCCGGCCAGGAAAACTTCTCAACAGAGTCCCTGGATCCCCGTGTTAAAGGTGCTTGTGAGTCACCTGATGTGGGTGCTAAGAACCAAACCCAGGTTGTATGAAGATGTTCTTAATGGTTGGCTACACTCAATTCAAATGTGCTAAGTCACTTAAAAAAGGAGTGTGTCTTGTATGAGTGGCAAAAATCTAATGCATGAGCCATCTTTAGTCACCTGGATTTAGCAGCAATAGGATCTAGAAAACCTTCTAAGTAGCCTAAGCAAGGTGTAGATGAAGTCCAAGCTGCAGGATAGGCTCTGATCTGAGTGCGAAAGGATGCAACCTGCAAGGGATGGTGTAGGGAGAATGAGCTAAAGCCATTTCGGCGGGAAAGTGGTACCGGCAAGGGCTTAGGGCCTTAATGTGTCTTTAAGGGAGTGAGAGGTGCCTGGGGATGCAGGACATCGAGGATGACTCTGAGCGTGCATCTCAAGCTTCTGAAGTCCCAAGACCCATAAGCCCAACTCTTACCTGCTGGGCCATGGCCCGGATGCGCCAGTACTCTGCCTCAGCACTCGGGGAGGAGGATGGGGCTGCTACCCGCACCTGGCAGCCTTCTCCGCTGAAGCCCTCTGTGCCACTGTGGAAGCAGCCGAGCAGGTCCTAGGAGGCACAGCAGGCATTCATGGGGTTTGTCTGGGTGTAGAGTGCCAGGGCCAGGTCAAATCGCGAATCTGATACTAATAAATAAAACAACCAACCCGGATGTGTGTGTGTGTGTGTGTGTTTCACATGTCCTGCTACCGTGCAACTGTACGAGGAGGCAGGCAGAACTCGGGTGCCCAGCCTGACCAAGCCGCAGGGGTTAAGGAAGAAGAAACTTTGCCTCCCTCCTTGTGGCGTCTTACCTTCACTGGCTTGAGTGTGGCAGAGAAGGCATCCTGCAGGGCACAGCAGGCAAGTCGCCACATTTCCTCAGTGAACACAGGACCCGCAGTCACGAGGACATACCTGCCAAAAGGCATGCCCTGAGTCCAGAAATCCTGCTGTCCTCCGCGTTGAGTGGAGCACAGGGTCTATCATGTAGTTGCTCCGCAAGCCCTCCTGTCCGTGTCGTTGTCCCCCCTCCCATATTCCACTGTCAAGATACTAACATCTAAACCGTTTTAATTTAGGATCGTCAATGTATTTCCATTGCAAACAGAGCAACATTTACCCTTAGGCTTCTATGAAGGGCTGCATACCCTTCATTCCTTTTCCCATCCTGGCCCCACTTGCTACCTTTCCTCCACAGATCCTAATGGCATTAAACAAGACCCAAACTCTCGTTGTCCCTTATCTTCTTACACCGGCTGTCTTGCTCTCCAGCTGGAATATTATCACCTAGTGAAGATTTACCATTGAGGTTTAAATGAGATGTCCCCAGAAAGTCTCTGACTTTGAGTACAGCGTACCCAGTGAGTGGCTGTTTGGGAAGGATTAAGATGTGTGGCCTTACTTAAGGTTTCAAAAGCTTTTAACCATCTTCTGTGTAGCATACTCTTCTGCTTTCTGCTTACAGTTTGAGATGTGAACTCTTAGCTATTCCCCTGAAACACCCTTGCTACACCATCATGGATGCTAACCCCTTGGAATTATAAGCTCAGTTAATTGTTCTCTTTTATAAGTTGCCTTTGTCATAGTGTGTTTTCATTGTAGCAATAGGAAAATAAAGAAGACAATCACTTTGCTGTAGGAACCACATGTCACCGTTATTACTGTTTTGAAACCCCCCACTCTTCTCCTTTCTGGGTATTATCACTTAGCCCCGCCCCAGGGGTTAATGAAAATCAGTTTTCAGTGACCTTCTCTCTGCTGGTTCTTATTTTTTTGAGACACTTCCTCTACTTCCACTTTCTCTACCCCCATCTACACTAAGTACTTGCAGAGTGACACCAAAAAGGTCTATTAATTATATTTTATGTATTTATAGCAATATAAAAAGTGAGTTACTACTGTAAAAGATAATGCCTTTGAATTTCATAATAAAATTATCCCTGGGGAGAGCCAATGGACCCTTTTCTCACCTAATGCAGGAACAGCCCACTCTGGAGATGGTTTCTGTGGGTTTGGCCACACATGCCACCAGCAGCTCAAAGAGATCCTTCAGCATGGTGTTGATCATGCTCTCGTACCTGATGTCTATAGGAAGAAGTAATAATAATAAGGTTCTTAGGTCTCTGGTGTAAAGGGAGAGAATGAAATGGCTGTCTCTAGCAAAACAAGAAAGTCTAGACATAAAAATATATGGGGGAAAGAAAACAAGAATGGTGTACCTTCCCTCATAGCCCTCAAAACAAAATACAGCAAAGCAATGTTTTACTTGGAGTCTTTTAACCAAATTTTGGTTTGTATCATCCCGCTTATAGACACAGCAAGACGAAATATGTGGTTCACTGTTTTCTTGTATTGTTCAAAGTTCAGCTTATGTAATCTACTCAAACAAGACAGAATATTATATATGGCCTGAAAATGAGTTGCTGGAAAAAATGCTTCTTAAAAGGAAAATTTGAATGTTCATGCTTTCCTTGGCGCTGAAAGCTGAATTTCATGTAAGTGCTCTTGAAAAACAATAATCTCGTCTCAGTTTGGGGACTTCTGAACCTTGTCAATCTGGTTTTCATATGCACATCCTCTGCAGACTGAAGGAATGATATCCCCAAGCCAGTCTATTTGCCAACTCAAGGAATGCATCTGTATGTTCTTCCTAGATCCCTGTGATACCACAGAAGCAATTTTCAGTGGTATTGTCCACACCCCTCCCTGTGCAAAGCAACGGCCTGTTCAAGAACATAAACTCCTTGAGACACATTTAGATCCCTCTCCTCCAACTATGGAGAATTCCTCCCTTCTCCATCAGTATTCTTATTTTGCAGAATAATTTGTTCTCATTCCTTATTCTTGCTTTAGACTCCTTGGGGGCAACAGTCTGCTTGGTTTCTATCTTTTTTAGCAAGGAGACCTCTTAATAATTTGTTTAGAAGCTCTGTTTCTTCTTCTTCCCAAACCTTGCAAAGCAGCTCATGTATAAGAACCCCACTTTCACAGAGGTCCCTGCTCAGGCATCTGGGCTTCTGTCCTGCCTATCTGTCCCTTTATATCTGCTACTTTCAACATAACTCTCCCCTGGCATTTTTTCAAAATGCCACAGGCATTGAGAACTTCCCATTATCCCTGCCCGGATAAATAACTATTTCTTTTATTTGCCCTCTTTAGATGAAAAAGCACAGGGCATCACACCTCTGCATACTTTGGCCATGGGTGTTTTTAAAAGTCATGTATTTAAATATGCCGTCCCTCTCCCTATGTATTGCTATGCTTCACCTGCTACTAGGTATTGTCTTGTCAACAGCAAGCGTAGAGCAGTATTCTGTTTGGTGATTTTATAGAGGCTGCATGGGTATCAATTTCCCTTCCAAAGATAGGCTATTAGATTACTGGCACTAACACATGTTTTTCTTCCATTTATTCCCTGGACAAAGACATTTGCATCAGGGATTCACTAAGCACTTTGAGATAATAATGCTGACTGCAGAAGCAGTGTCCTCAAGGGCTGGCTCTGTCACTGAGGCTACCTGAGTGTAGGAAGCTCTGAATGTGCTCCACCACCAGCTCGCAGGACAGGCCGATGGCATGCTTGAAGTTCGCAGATGCCACATCCCAGTAGGAATGGTCCTTGTGGCTACGACGGAGCCACAGAGACATCACAGGAAGGAGAAGGTGAACGACTGCGTAGATTCCAAACCCTGGGCCTGACAAAGAAAGGGAGGAGTCAGAATTGTGATTTCAAGAGGACCAGGTGCTTCTTGCTATGGCTGGTATCCAAGATCTCTTCCGAAAGATCACCCCATTCTCTGAGAAAGTATGAGAGGAATTGGCAACTCACTGGGGGGTAAGAGCAGGGACATTTTTCTTCTTTGTATGATTTTAGCAGGTGTATGAATACACATAAAAACTGAAATATCCCAAAACTAAAATGTCACTTGATCTCTTAGTCCTCAGATTCAAATGCAAAAATACATATATGCATATGGGAAAGAATGTCAAAATATTTTACAGATATATTTATATGGAACACAGTTTTGTTTATCAACAGTCTGTATTGCCCAGATGGGCCTTGAACTCCTGGACTGAAGTGTTTTCCTGTTGAGACTCCTGAGTAGCTCTGTGACTACAGGCATTTCCCACCACACTGGCTGAGAGCTTTAAAGATAACTTTTTGATAAATATGAAGAACAAAGTTCATATTATAAACAATCCTTATTTTCACTGACATATACTATTTCCATTATACATAGATTTAATTTATCAATTTCAGTACTGGTGGACATTTAAGATGTGATTTTTTTTGTTCTGTAGACAACACTATAAAGGAAATTTTGCCAGGCATTGGTGATGCACTCCTTTAATCCTAGCACTTGGGAGGCAGAGGCAGGCGGATCTCTGTGAGTTTGAGGCCAGCCTGGTCTACAGAGCGAGTTCCAGGATAGGCTCCAAAAAAAAAAAAACCAAAAACAAACAAACAAAAAAAGAAAATCTTTGTGCCTCTTCAAAAAAATAGAACAAGAAAACTCCAAATAATGAAATATACTAAAGATAACAAACATTAATATTACATAGTATAGAGGGGGACAAAACTTACCTATAGATAATTCCATTTTAATACATTTCCTTAGTTTTAAATGTATGTGTATGCATATGTATTTATAAATTTAGATGAAGTTTTATATAGTTGATCCACAGTTAAAATAATGCCTTATAAGTGTTACTCACACTTATTAACTGCTTCTCACTTAGTGTTCATAATTTTTATTTTAGCACTAAAGAGATTTCAACAAATAGATATGTATTCTTAGCACTGAACACCATCCATATGTATCATGGGACAATTAATATGAAAACTGAAAATGGCACTTACTAATGAAATGCACAACTCTTCAATGGAATGCTTTTAAACTATTAACTATATGAGACTAGCTATAAACTTTGGAATGGGTTTTGAGAAGGTGTTAATATCAAATTTTCATAGCAATGAAGAGATATCTCATTGGAATTATTTAGTAGTTAATTAAAGTTCTAATTCTTTTTGTAAAAATTAAAATTTCAGGGCTGCAGAGATGGCTCAGTTATTAAGGGACCTGAATTCCATTCCCAGCATCCACATGGTACCTCACAGCAGTCTGGGACTCCAGTTGTGGGAGATCTGATGCCCTCTTCTGGCTTCTCCAGGCACTGCATGCACATGGTGCACAGCATTTATGCAGGCAAAGCTCCGATAAAAATACTAAAAACCCTTTACATGACTATAAAATTTTCTTTGAGGAAACCTTGAAATGGAAAACATGTATGTTAAGTTTTAAAACTCCAATCAACGGATACATTTCTAAGGCCTCTTCTTTCGCACGCATGGGACTGTCCGAGGCATTATGTTTCTTTTCCAATTCTAATCGCCCTGACAAGAGACTGCTCGGTACAGCATGTGCTTATGAGTGACGGATCTGTTGAGTTCTCCTGACAGCCCCGGGGCTGTACATCCTGCAAGATCTGGCCAAGGAAGAAGACTGTCATCGTGGCAAATGGCAAAGCCAGCTGGCTTACAGAGGCACCGATGGCCCGAAGTGGGGAGTCCAACAGCACCAAAGCACAAATCTCTTGTGAAAATTTCAGGGACATACATGACCCATCACTTCATATTCAACACATTTACTGAGCATCCACTGTACGCGGGACTTCGCGTTAAATGTAAGAAACAGTGATAGCAGGTAAACACCCAAAGAGATGCCTTCTTGAAAATAGTCACTTGTCTAACAACCCTTCCTCCAGAGTAGAAACAGATGTAGACATTTACCAGGTGTTTTGGTGACATCTCTCAACAGCTCAAAGAGTAAATCTAAGGTTGGTGGTTGGTGTTGCCGGGGACAGTTGGACACAGCTGCTGTTAGCTGCTCCAGCAGGATGATCCAAACTTCTATCAGACCTGGAAAACAAAAAGTAGATCTCTCTGAAACCCAGATATCCATCACAAAGAAGCCTTGAAAGATCCCAGTGAAAGCCGCATATAAATGGCAAGGGGCACTGGGATGACAGTCATCAGAGTGCAGCCCTCAGTGATATGAGAGGCAAAGACTGGCTAATGAGGTCTAACAAAGCCAAAGGAAAACACAGAACTCAAATTCTCTGCTAATCCCTCACTTTAAAAATGACAATATTATATGTAAGTTCTATACTGAAATGACTGTCAGACTTCTTGGGAGCTAATCAAATGATAGTAAAAATATAAAATGATCTGTTTAGTTTTGTTTTCTATCTGTCCTCTTGTTTTTCCTTCCAAGTCAGGGTCTTCTGTAGCCCATGCTAGCCTCAGGCCTGCTGTTTAGTCAAACATAATCTTGAACTTATGATTGGTATTTCCCGCCTCATATATATGTAATACACAAACACCTAGACAATTCTCTGAACTGATATATTCTCATATATTATCATGGATTCCCAATATACATAATTATCCTGCCAAGTGAAAAGTACAAACATTTGCAAAAATCACAAGCATACATAGAATATACAAAGCTGGGCATAATAGTTGATGAGGGACTCAATATCAAAGTTTATAGTCACCTTCCAAGTGCTGGGATTTCAGGCACTTGCTACACACCCTATTTATGCAGTGCTGGAGATCAAACCCAGGGCATCATGCATGTGACATAACCACTACTGAATAAGCCACACCCCTAGACTTCCTGTCTACTCTCTTAAAAATCACAAAATTAGCCTGTTCATTATTTTCTCTGTAACGTTAGTGGCGTCAATTACATATATCATGTTGTGTAACCACTAATACTGTTTCAATAATTTTTGTCATTTGTAGCCAACTGGTCATATATATTTTCCTTCTTTCTCTCTCCCTTTAGTTCAAGGCAAAACTCAAGACTTTATTGTAGACAACAACCTTAGCTTCTACTCATAAATATTCAGTCAAAATTATTCTTTCTTGTAGTTTAAATTGTTGCATTAGATATTTTCTACTCCTCCCAATGTTTTCTGATTCTGATTTTATGAGACTTTACCACTTAAGATATCTGTCAAACACTGTAAACATCTAACCACTCCTATAATTGAGGAACAAAAATAAAAACATCCTCCAAGAGTGTTTGAAATGACCTGGACTTGGAAAGTAGCCCTATTTAAGATGTGGACTAGATGATGTCTTCTGAGGCCATAGGCAGCAGGTGTGGACAGGAGTACACACACTGGAAAATCCCTCAGAGTTACCCGATAGGAGTCTTGTTTGCAGGAGATTGCATGGGACCTAATTTGAAACAAATTCCTTAGAAGTATTCTTTTCCTCAGCCTATCAGCTTCACTGGTCACAGATAGAGTCTCTCTCCATTAATGGCTTCATTTCCCCTGTCTCTAACCAAATAGTCTTAGGGGAAGTAATTGTGTTTCCTTGAAGCTAGTGAAGTCAATTGCTAGTTTAATTAAGCACCAGTGCAATTTTGTCTTAATTCACTAAATTCAAGAGACATCAGAATTTGAACCTTATTTGGTGGGATCTGCATAGCTGTGGTGGTTTTACACAGAGACATCCATGTGAGAGGACTGGGTTAGGGAGTCCTTGAAAACTCTGGTTAAACTTATCATGATAAAAATTATCTTAAAAAACACAGAAATGGATGACCACTCTTATGATCTGTAAACTAGCTTAATTTATTGCCTAAGATTCTGGGACTAAGAACACAACAAAGAATCCTAGTCAAATCAACGAACTTACCAGTTTCATCATCAAAATCTGATAGGACCGATTCAATTCCATCCTCGCTGCTGGCTGACTGCTCCTGAAGCCTTCGTGGCAAGCTGGCAAGTCGCCCGCTGAGGAATATTGGCTTTAAGGGCATTTTGTAGATCTTGGCCAAAAGCTAAAAAAGAAGACCACACCAAACAGTGCACTTGTATATGGGGAAATTCTCAGGGTTACAAAACAGTAAGATTACAAACTGCTCTTAAAGGGGCTTCAACTAGCAGAGTTCCTAAAGAATGAAAGCTGTTGTGATTTGCATTCAACATATGACAAGAGCGTTTCTATCAAGAAGCAGACACACTAATACTCACTGGCAACAAAACAGTGACTAATTTTTCAATATCTGTGATACATACACACACATACACATAATAAACAACTTATTTATAAACTCACTAAGGTCACCGTGGACATGTCCAGTATTTTTGTCTGTGGGGGACCCCAGAGAAGAGTCCATAGGAAAATAGGCACCAGACTATGATTTCCCCTTCCCATAATGCAACCTCCCAGGAAGCAGAGGAGCCAGACAAAGCTGGGGGATGGAGAGGTCTGGGTCAAGGTGGAGGAGCTAAACGTGTCTCTCCCAGGCCTCAGCTAGAGGCATTTGCTGGTGTTTTATGAATACCCTCCAAGGCAGATGTGGGGCTTGCAGCTGTGTTTGGGCCTCCCCAGTACCTGAGAGCAGCGTCTGAGGTAATCCAGAGCAGGCAGGCACAGGTCTGTGGATGTGGCTCCCACTCCAGGGACACAGTCTCCAATCTCTTTACAGTCCACCTCCCCTAGGGCAGCGTGGGGACAGAGACAACATTACCCATGTTCTCTGATCACAACGGAAGACACGCTCACGCACATCTTACCCGAATAAATATACATAGAAGGAGAGAACAATTACAGCCCATTAATTCACTTCTCTGCTGGATGGTGTGGCTTCTGAGGCTTTGGTGACAGACAGCAGTCCCAGAGGCAGGCCTTGCATGGCTACAATGAGGCTCTTGGCCTCCTCTGTCTTGGGATTTTATAAAACTGCTGCCAGCATGAGGCACTAAATGATGATGGTAGATGAAGAGTCCAGGCAGAGTAAACATATGGGGTTTGGAGACATAGGCAACTTAACTGGATGGAAATTAGTTTATTTTCATATACTTGTAGAGATTTAACCCATCTCTGGAAAAGATTTTCTTTCTTCCACTTAAAAATTTTTTATTTCGTTTTGCATAGGTTGTTGGAGCCCATTCCTATGGTGGGATGCCATGCAGTAGGACCACGATATAATCCTGGTACGTGAGCTAGTTGTTGGCGTCTACGCCCTATGGTGGGATGCCATGCAGTAGGACCACGATATAATCCTGGTACGTGAGCTAGTTGTTGGCGTCTACACCCTATGGTGGGATGCCATGCAGTAGGACCACGATATAATCCTGGTACATGAGCTAGTTGTTGGCGTCTACGCCCTATGGTGGGATGCCATGCAGTAGGACCACGATATAATCCTGGTACGTGAGCTAGTTGTTGGCGTCTACGCCCTATGGTGGGATGCCATGCAGTAGGACCACGATATAATCCTGGTACATGAGCTAGTTGTTGGCGTCTACGCCCTATGGTGGGATGCCACGCTCAGCCTTAATGCGTGGGAGAGGGACCTGGCCCTGCCACAACCTATTGTGCCAGACTATGTTGTCTCCTAATGGGAGCTCTTACCAGTGAAGAGGAGTGGACTGGGGGCGGGCTAGAGAGGAGGTGAGCGGGGTAGGAGGAGGGGTATGAAGGAGAACTGTGGTTGGAATGTAAAAGGAAATTTAAAAAAAGGAAAAAGGATTTTTTATAGTAAAAGAAACAAGAATTACAATTTTTATTCTCAGTATCATGAACCTATTTCTATACTTCTAATAAAATTATTCCACATCACTATAATTATAGCTAATTGTCTACAATTGTAGCAGCAAGCACCCTTCCCTATGGGTAAATAAGCATAATTACTAGGCATTAGCTAAAATTCAGAAGCAATGAGGCATGCTTCTACATAAAAGAAATAAATGAATTTGCATTCTATATTAGGGTTGGCAAACTTGTTGCAAAGGGCCAGAGAGCAAGGACTTAAGGTTCTGTAGGCCATCCTGTCTGGGTTGCAAATGTAGCACAAGGTCGAAATAAAATTGTTTTAAAGACAATCTGTAGTTAGATTTGGAATTGCCAGTTTGCCAGCTCCTGGTTTGCATTCATTTACCTTACAACTGAGGCCAGAGGCCAGGGTGAATCTGTGCTGAAAAAGCAGCTGAGAATGAGCAGTAGTGTCATCCCTCATCCCCTAGATTACTGCAGGTGTTACCTTTTCTGTGTCGTATGCCCAAGTACATATTGGCTCCCTGGAACCAAGTGGTACACAGGAAACATGGCTGTGTGTGGTGTCCTATCTTTCCCACTGAGTCTTATACCTTCCCAAACCTTACACCTTGACCCTCTACTCCATAGATCACACGATAAAATAGAACCCATCTTTTCAAAATATCTTTCATGTGCATTCAGTCCCTAACTTTCCTCTAAGATATAGTCTCAAGTTTCTAAATGATGTTAGGTAGCTTTCCCTGAGTATTTCACAGACACCCGTGTGTCTAACTGTCCAAGGAAAATTCACCTTTTCTTCTTTGCTGTGGACTAAGTACTTGTATCCATGTGCCATGAAAACATGAGTGGAAAATTTCAGAGATAAGAAATTCTTCTTATGTTCATAGCAGCTTTATTTGTAATAGCCAGAACTTGGAAGCAACCTAGATGTCCCTCACCTGAAGAGTGGATAGAGAAAATGTGGTACATCTACACAATGGAGTACTATTCAGCAGAAAAAAATAATGGAATCATGAGATTCGCAGGCAAATGGATGACACTAGAAGAAACCATCCTGAGTGAGGTAACGCAGTCACAAAAAGAGAAACATGGCATGTACTCTCTCATATATGGATTTTAGACATAGATCTGGGGAGTGCCAGCCTACAATCCTATGGCCAGAGAGTCTGGGAAACAGAAACTTCATTTAGTGGCTGATCGAAGAAGAGGCAGACTCCCTTGGTTAAGTACTGAGCTGAACTCAAGAAAGCCAGTAACAGAGAGGGAGGACTGATGATCAAAGGGATTAAGACTGGGCTGGTTTAACCCCCAGAAACAGCTGACCAGACAAAGGTTAACTATTGAATCCCAGGCAACAGCCTGGGAATCCAGCATGGGACTGATCAAGACCCCCTGAATCTGGGTGTCAATGAGGAGGCCTAGGGAATCTATTGAGCCTTGGGCAGCAGATCAGTACCCATCCCAAGTATACACACAGACTTTGGACTCCCATAGAACAATGTGAGGTGCACTCTCACCCTGAACTCTTGGGGAAGGGTCTAGGCCCTGCCCTATATGAAATGACAGACTATGGACACCCCCATGGAGGGCCTCACCCTCCCTGGGGGAATGAGGGGATAACGGGGGGGGGGTTGGGGGGAGGGCACGGGAAGAGGGGAGGGGATGGGAGAGGGACCTGGAACTGACTTGTGAAGCAACCTTGCTTCTTATCTAAATTTAAACTGGAAAATAAAATATATATAAAAAAAGAAATTCCTAAGTTTGAAATTACATGTTTTTGTTGGCAGCAAGATGGAATGTCACTCCCGCTCCATCCCATCTGGAACGTGTTCTGCATCCAGGCTGGATATGGTAACCACCTATTGTCACTTTGTAGTCACCTGCATTGTCAGACTGCCTGATATGATATCTGTGTATTGTAATCATTTCTTAATTTACTATTTTTATTTTTATGTGTATGAGTGTTTTGCCTCATGCATGCCTGTACACCTCTTGCATGCATGGTGCTTGAGAAAGCCAGAAGAGGGCATTATAGCCCCTGGACTGGAGCTACAGATGGTTGTGAGCTTCCATGTGGGTACTGAGAATTGAATCCAGGTCCTCTGAAGGAGCAACCAGTACTCTTAACAGCCGAGTCATCCCTCTGGCCTTTATCATTAGTTTTTGTTAGTCTAATGTAATACCTACTTCATATATTAACTGCTGGTATGTATGTATAGAAAAATAGAGAATTCACAGGCTTGGCACTATAAGTGGCTTTAGGAACCTACTGGTGGTCTTAGAACATATCCCCGTAGAGGGTAACTGTATTTTGTAACAGAACAGGGTAAGAATTGCCTACAGTTCAGACGACTGGCAGATAAATCCTGTGTTTTTATTTTGTTCTGACTCCAAAAATAAGAGTGACACAAGTGTAACAACTTCTTTGTGTCCAGTTTCTTTCACAGAGGAATGATTAATGCATCAGTTATCTATTGAGAACATAAGACAACATCAACTTTCTATTTTCCTTATTTCCAAAGTTCTCAGATTCCACGTCCAAGAGCTCTCTGTGTAAGCCTCTTGGATGTGTAAATGTCTTCTAAACTTGTGGTTTAACCCCCTGCCCCTTCCACCTCACCCAGATGAATCTGTGCTCTGTAAAACCCAGCTCCAGCAAGTCATGCTGTATACAAGACTCCACTCTAGTAGATGTTACCAACCTAAGCTTATAACTACCTAGCTGGTCCCTAAAATGCACTAGGACTTAGAGAAAGGGAATGCCGACTCATCCAAAACACACACTGCTATTATGAAGGCTAGAAGAGGCATTCTTACGTTTACTTTCTGACTGCTAACTGTGACGCTGAAAGGAATGGTTTCCTGCACAAGGTCAATTACTGAAGATTATATGGAATATCTTAAGATTGAAAGGGAAGTTGGCATAAAATAACGCCTAGTTTGAGAATGTATTGTATCACATGATATTTTAGGGATGCAGTTAAAAAAATCAACTTCAGACAAACGTGAGCATAGAAAGCCCGTGAACCACGTGTTCATATCCCAGGATGCATGCTGTTCCTAGCACCCTGTCTTCAGGGATGTCCCTGCAGAGCCAGAGTGAAAGGGTCTACAGTGACTGCGAGTGTCATGAAAGGAGGGTTCCACTTACCCAGTCCTTTGACAAACTTCATAAGGCACATGATGTAACTAGTGGCTGCATTGGCAAAGACCTGGATGTTGTCCGTGTTGAGAAAGGCTTCAAACACGTCGAACACAGGAGCCTGGCCTTTTCCTGAGGGAAGAAGGGGAAAGAATCATAACACAGGGAGGCTTTAACCCTTCATGGTGCTTACACTTCCTGCACCTCCTAGGTAGTCTTAATAAAGGTCCACTGGAGAAGTGTCTGGGCCTTTCCACTGAATAACTAGCATGCCTTGCTGCTTCACCTAAATGGAAGCTATAGGAAGGCTGGGTGGATAATGGAGGACAGAAGTGGAGGAACAGAGGCCTGGAGCAATGTGTGGGCCTGTAATACAATAAACATGGGGCTTCTGGGATGCTCCAGCACAGAAAATTCTAGAACATCTGTAGACTAGGACAGGGAAATATGTTTATTCATTCATTCCTGTTCAGGAATCTGCTTGCCTTGGGAAATCGTGCCTGCAAGGTTGTCAATCAGGTGGAACTTGACTGGTATCCAGGAACTTGATTCTTAGAATATTACTGGGCAAATTATCACATAAGATGGTTCACTATCCTAGACTGTGCAAAACATTTGGTTTATACTACACACCTGGGAGTTGATATATGCCAGGTATAATGTATCTATGTGACCATTTTCCCACTTGGTCTTTAACTAGCTTTATGTTACTGACACTTCTGCCACTGAGGGAAGAGTTCTCTGTGTGATGTTCCATGGAAAAGCAAGAATGTAGAAAAACCTATAGGATCCTTCCAGATTATCTGTCTTCTTATCTTAAAATCTGGCTGTGCCCTTATTATACTATCATAGTGAAACTTAGTCATGAACCATGCAGTAGACCAAGGCATGCAATAAATCTTATCATAGCAGTATGCTCTGTCCCATGAATCCTTCTGCTAGGTTTCTGAATCTCAGGGTGGCCTTCAGGAATTGCTGACACAATACCCCCCATTCTACAATTTTCTATTTCCTTACTTGAAAATAGATATGGGTGTAGTGTACCTTCTCCTAAATGCTAGGGATTAGGTGTGTTTTGACATTTGGAGCTTTTCAATGTGTGAAATATATGCTCGAATTTACTGAGCCTCTGAAATCCAATGTTTTGGATTTTTGAACGGTTCAGATTTTCAGATGTTCAAATTGTGACCTTTCCCCCCTGTGGTCTCAGGAAGTAACTCGACATAGCAATACAAAGTGGACCAAAACCCTCTCAGTGCAAGCAGAAAGGACCTGATGAGCCAGCTGGCAGCAATCCATCCTCAGGTCCTAGCTGCATGTTATTTCCTGCCGACAAGACATGGCTGGCAGAATGGCTTTCCTCCTGCCCCTTTGAAAAGAAATGAATGTGCCATAGGGACAATCACCCAATGGTTCTTACCCATGGCGTAGTCCCCAACCAGGTACTCCTTCACCTCCGACTTGTTCCCACTGTGCACTGTTTCCAGTGCACTGAACAGGGGTCTCCATCCCGACTGGATCTGCGTGGAGCACACCTCCACCAGCTCCCCAATGGAGGTGACCACCTGCGCAGGTGAAGCGGGATGTGATTAGGTAACACAAGCGGAACTTGTAGGGAAGGTGGTGGACTTCTCTGCCCCCCCCCCCATTTCTGAGTTAATTTTAGTGAAAGAGAAAAACACAACCGAGACAGACTGGCTTGTTTCCCTAGTAACTAGTGTTGCTGAGTAGATTTCCACAAGATTAGCCTTCTGTTAGCTTGCTGGGTTTTTGTGTTGGGTGTGTGTCTCCTTATTGCCAAGCACTGTAGACTCAGGTCCTTTATAGTTCATGCTTTCCAAATACCTCTTACAACTTTGAGCCATCTTTTTAAAGATTTTATGTGAGTGTTTTTCCTATGTGTGTGTGTGTGTGTGTATGCATACATGCATGCACACCATATGCACACCTGGTATCCATAGAGGAGTCAGCAGAGATTTTGTATCCCATAGAATTGGAGTTACAGACAGTCTTGAGACATCACGTAGGTATTGGGAATCAAACCTGGGGCTTCTGGAAGAGCAGCCAGTGGTCTTAATCATTGAGTTCACTCTTCAGCCCTAAGTTTGCCTTTTTATTATTATATCTTAATTTTATCTTTCAGGGAATACAAGTGTTTAATTTTGATAAGGTCTGACTCATCAATTTTTCTTTTTGATGGTCATGTTGCTAGTACTGCTTCCAAGAAACCATTGCCTCAAGTTTATAGTTATTGCTCTTGCTCATGTTAAGTCATGAACAATTTACTCTGTGTGTGTGTGTATGTGTGTGTATGTGTGTGGTGAAAGGTGAGGGTTTAAATTCATCTTTACAAATGTCCTAGTAAAACTGGCTGAAAACACTGTCTTCTTCCTCTGTTGAATTACAATGGCATCTTCGGCACAAGTCAATTGGCCAAACACCTAAAGAATCTTTCTTTAAAGTTATTCCCTTCTAATGTAAACATTTGTAACCATAATTTCCCATAAGTACTGATTTAGCTACATCCCACAAATTCAGTATGTCATGTTTTCACTCAAGACATTTTTTAAACATTCCTTGTAATTTCTTTACTGACTTAAGGATTATTTAGAATTTTGATGTTTGACTTATAAATATTTTAACATTTCCAAAGTTAATTATTTTTTAATGAAAACCCAATTTCCATGATGGCCAGAAAATATACTTTGTTCAATTAAAATTTGGTTAAACTTAGGGCAACTTGCCTTATAGGTTTGCATGTCAACTATTATGAAGAAAGAATGTGCATCCTGTCATTCAGATTGGTCCATAGTGTTGCTCATTATCTCTACCCTGAGATGTTGCTGTCTGGTTGTTCTATTAATTGCTTCAAGGAAAATGTTGTGATAGCTCATTATAATTCATTTTCAATCACAGGAAAATGTATACCGTATAAATTTACCACATTTCTAATTGCATATAGTTCACACACTAAGATACAGCTTGCACCGCTATCCCCACAAAATTTTCATCTTTCAACAATGAAATTCTGTGCCCGTTATACAATAACTTTCTATTCCTCTCCATTGTGAGCCTTACATTGTATCTCCATTCCATTGTTTGTGCCTTCGTGCATTTCTAAGGTTGCATTGGTAGAGGCTTGTGTATCTGTAGGCGCCCATGTATGAAGGCTGGAAGTTAATGTTGGGTACCTTCCCCTACTGTTCTCCACCTAACACAGTGTCTCACCGAGTCTGGAGCTTGCTGGTTTGACCAGGCTAGCCTGCCATCAAGTCCTAGGGGTTCTCTACTTCAATTGTGCTGGGATTACAGTGTGCATCCCATGGCTGCTTTTTGCCCAGGTGCTGGACTAGAACTTAGGTCCTCAAGCTTAGACAGACAGTACAGTACTGACTTAATTGTCTCTACCTCCTGCCCCACTTTTTAGTATACTGACTTATCTTAATTATAAAATACTCATTTCTAGTGATAGTAATACTCTCTGCTTGTCTTTTGTCTTTGACCTAACACTAACACAATTTCACAAACTCTGTCACAGCTAGAATCTGGGTGGCTCTAACTCTTCACTGTCTTCCTGTCTCAGTCCCTCCTCCTCCCCATTCCAAGAGAGTAGCCCAGGCTGGCTTAGAACTTTCTATGAAGCTCATGCTGGATTTTCTCTTGCAGTCCTCCTGCCTCCTGGAACTGTAGGCACAGACCCCTACAGTTGGCCTTTGATTCCATCTGACACTGTGTCTGTTGCTGCAAACATTTGTGAAGACTTCCAAGGGTGTTTTTTTTCATTTCTCTTGGGGACATACTGTTGGAAGAACTGCCAGACTGTACTCTGAACCGAGAAAAGAATTTGCTTCCTTAATCCAGCGTCTGATGTTCGTCCCCTCTGCATGGTTATCACCACCCCTTTGTTTATAGCTGCCCCAGCAAGTGAGGCAGTGCTCATCATGGGCTCAATTTACATTTTCCTAATGATGTCGAGCGTCCTACTCAATGCTACCATGCATATGGCTCTACTTACATCAGCATTTTGCTCTCCGTTTCCCACATTTACTGTAGCCTTTGTTCTTTCCATTTTTTCTTTACCAAAAACACATGTCATTTTAGCATCTCTGTTCTAAAACTTCTCTTTATGTATAGGTAATTGATGAGGGGATTATAACTTGTACCTTGAATTTATTATAATATACTTCTTGTTAACACTGACTCTATTTGGGGGAAAAGCAGAATTTTGCCTCCTATATATCCTTATTTCCTCTCTTTTTGCTAATGTTACATAGTTTTAACTTAAGCTTGGCCTAAGAGAAGCCCAGCTATGTAGTAAGATCTATAGCATTGTCAGTGGCTCCTGAATAATGTGATATGATGAACTCAAGCTTCACTTGATGGGACAGCCCATTACAGCAAAACACCCCCAAGGGGCTGTGTGTGTCCATCCCTCTCTGGCTGTCACTTTGGGGGCATTTTAGTAGGTTTCATTTTTCTTGCCAATATGTCATTGCATTTAAAAGCAAACAAAAAGCTCTGTTCAATATCTGAGTTGATTTCAGAGAAGAGCCTACTGTGTTCTGGGCCCACCATTGTGTCACCTGTGAGGTCACCAGGTTTGCATCTTTCCATCTGTCTCCCATTAGGCAGGATGACTGTGGTCAACATTGTAGATAAGCTATGGGTCCATCCGGCCAGATTCTGTAAGTCTGTGTTTCAGTCGCACCAGTCACTAGGTGATCCTGGCCAACTTGTTTAACCTCTCTTTGTCACCTGCTTGGGAAGACAGCATGCAAACCAGAGAACAGTGCCTGCATCTCCCTCACCAAACGCCACCTCTGGAGATGAGGATGCTGTAAGCCCGCGTCACACTGACCTGGTCTTGGACATCTTCGTCACACAGCTCCAACTGCATGATACGCTCAAAGGGCCGGAAGAGCGCTTCATTAAAGTGGAAGTGAGGCGGCTCACTCCAGTCAGTGAGAACCTCGGTCAGGATATCATGGATGAAGGAAACAGCCTTCTGAGACACGTGGCGCTCCTTGTGGCAGGCCGCCTGCACAAGACAAGAGAGCTGAATGCTGGCGGGAAGTCCGGCAAGGAAAATGCGGCTTCAGGAGGCTTCCCCAGCCTACCTCATTATGTAAAGGTAGAAAGAACAATTCGTTTACATACAAAATTCTAAGGAATTTTAGTGTACAGATAAGTGCACTAAATTGCATCTGATTTTTTTCTTTTTGGTTTTTCAAGACAGGGTTTCTCTGTGCAGCTTTGGAGCCTGTCCTGGCACTCACTCTGTAGCCCAGGATGGCCTCGAACTCACAGACATCCACCTGCCTTTGCCTCCCCAGTGCTGGGATTAAAGGTGTGCACCACTACCACTCAGCTGCATCTGAAATAGATACAACTCCAATGTCAAGTTAAGGTTTCTGGAAGAGCAAGGTTTCTACCATTTTCTTTCTGCAGCATGACAGTTTTCTTCAGCAGTGCAGAGCATGTCCACCACAACCTATGGAACTGCTCAGGGCTCGTCCTTATTCATCGCCCTAACATAGTATGAATAAGTGAGACATTTGGCCCCTAGTGAGGTGGATCAATTGCAACAAGGATTTGAATTGGTGCACACAGCCTGGATCCAATGCTCTATTGATTCCGTTCCATATTGGCTCTCAACGTTGACCTGGGTCCTGCTTTGACTACTGGTACAACAGAAACCATCCCATAAGTAACAAACTATGATATAGGGTTTGTGCTCTCACTGTTTTGGGGGAATCCTAAGAAGACTGTGTGAATGAGTGGGGACTGACTGCCAGAGGCCAGTCTATGCTAAGGACCATGTAGAGAGAGAACTATGACCAGTCTTCCCAGATAAAACTATCACGGACCAGTTGGTATTAGTCTTTGTATCAGCCAACTGTGGACATAAAGGGAAGGCCAGCTGGGATCAGCCAAGCTAACTGTCTTAATTAGTGTTTCAATTTCTAAGCCAAGACACCATAACCAAAAGCAATTTGGGGAGCAAAGGGTTTATTTCACCTTATACTTCCAGATGACATTGCCCATCATTAAAGGGAGTCAGGACAGGAAGTCTGCAGGGTAGAAACCTGGAGGTCATGGAGAGGCTATGGAAGTGTGCTGCTTACTGGCTTGCTCCTTATGGTTTGCTCAGCCTGATTTCTTATAGCACCCAGAACCACTGGTCCATGGGTGGCGCCACCCACATCAATTATCAATTATGAAAATGTAGCACAGGCTATCCCACAGGCCAATATGATGGGGACATTTTCTTAATTGAGGGTCCTTCTTCCCAAATGACTCTAGCTTGGTCAATCTGGAATAAAACTGGCTAGCACACTAATCCAGACCAGAATTACCAGAGCATTTGCGTCAAATTTCTGCTACAGAGGACCAATGGGCAAAATAAATGGTTACAGTTTGAAGCTCCTAGGCTTTCAGTGCAACTAGTTATAGCACAGCATCGTGTTGTTGGGATCTTCACCCTTGACTAAATTGATGCATTCTACCTTTTCTCCTAATTACTCTATCCTCAGGTTAATAAATTAAATTCCATGAAATACTTCCTTGTATATCTTTACTTAAATACATATGACAGGGTGTTTATGGATAAGTTACCATTTTAAGTCGGGCAATAATGTTCCCTGTTACTTAGTCAGTGGGGTGGTTTGAATGAGCAATGATCCCCATAGGCTCATATCTATTTGAGCACTTGGTCCCTAGCTGGCACACTGGGGAGGAGGTGCCACTATTGGTGGGCTTTGAGCTTTAGTAGCCTCACCCTTCCTCCACGTTGCTTGCTAGCTTTGTGTTTACATCGAAGATGTGATCTTTCAGCTCCCTGGCTCTGCATCCCTGCCATTATGGGCTCTCCTTCTGGAACCGTAAGCCCAAACAAACCCTGCCCTCTGTAAGTCATCTTGGTCACAGTGTTTTTTTTTTAAATCACAGCAACAGAAAAGTAACAAACAGAGCCAGCCATCATATCATGCACTGATATGGTTTGATATAGAGCTACCTCAAAACTGATCCTGTAAACTGTTTTCCTCTGGAGAGTGGGGAGGTGTTAGCATTCATTTTGTCAGGAAAACTAGGATGTAGGGTTCCACCTCCTGAAATACCATGTCCCTAGTAACCGAGTTATCAGAGAAGAGAGACAAGAACCAAAGGTGTTGCCCCCCAAAAAAGAATTCACTCGGGGTTCTATCTTTTAGCTCCAGATTCAAGTTAAGAGCAGAACATGAGACTCAAGAACCAGCTTCGTAAGGAAAGTAGTTGAGCCATGTACTTGGAAAGAGAGGGGGGCATAGCGACACTGGGGGGCACTGCCTTTCTGGGTGAGCCTTCAGATGCCTGGATATATAACTAGAGAACAATGGTGCTTATGAGCAGGTTATGGAAAGGTTCTCACTGCTCTGTGGCCCTCTGAAGACAGCCCCTGGGCTGGCTGTGCAGCAGGACGTCCCTGAGCTTACATTTGCAGGCTCCATGCTCACCTCCACCAGGTGTGGTGCCACAAGGCTCCAGCAGCGCATCACGTGGAGCAGGGGTCGGGCTTTGCTTCTCACGATCCTCAGCATGGCATCCCCCAGGCGGAACAGGTGCAGAGCGCTTTTGCGGTCCTGGGTGGACTTAACCTCTCCTACAGGAGGGCAAGGCGAGAAAGACCAAACTCAGGTAGAGTTCAAAGGACTCCAGCAGAGACAAGTTGAAAATCGAGGCAGTGCCCTTGGGTAGCAAAATGGATTCGGATGGCTCATTGAGGAAGGAGAGGGCCTTCCATTCACAATCAGCAAGGTGGTTCACTCAGGAGGACCAAGACCTCTCCCTGATTCAACACTGTGTCCACTGAGACAAAGGCATGATGCAGTGGCTTATACAGTGATGCTAAGGAGTTGGCCTGTTTAGTAGCTGCCCTCGAATGGGCCAAAGATTCCCCTCTATTCCCCGATGATCTCAAGTGTCAAATACGGGGTAATTATGCCTACTTCTTAAAGTTCCTTTTATTATTAAAGGCATGTGATGACCCATGTCCAATGACGAGCATGGGGCCCAGCACACGTGGATGAGTGTTTCAAACTGTGATAATTATGACTTGCTGTCATCTTTCACACATGCTGCTGACACCAATGACTGCGGCTGTTTCTCCCTTACTTACCAACAGTCCCTTACCTGGCATTGCCAGAGAGTAATCGACAGTGTCTGTCACCGAGTGGAAAAGCTGGGCCTGAGACGCTTTCTTTAGCTGGTAGAGGAACCCTCCCAAGGCCGTTAGGTTCAACTTATCTGTAGCATCGTCAAAGAGCCTGGGTACAAATAAGCATCTGTGTTATGTGGGAATGATTCAGCAAGGGCATGTAGCAGAATAATTACGGTAACTTAGCTGATGTAATTAACAAATACGCTGTGTAAACATTGTAGACAAGTAGATGGCATTACCACAGCTATTATTAATGTGCACACATCTGTACTAAGCATGGGATTTTGATGCAAAGAATACCACAAAGCATAATCTTTGCAGATTCCAAGGTAAACGCTCCTAAAGTATTTGACAAGAATGTGAAAGACGGCAAAGTATTGCTTCCAGAGATTCCAGGGCTATGGGAAGGATGGTGAGATGTAATGATCCAACAATAGGTTCCCATAACTCCAGTGGGCAGTGAGGCATCTGTGTTTTCAGACAGAAATAGTAAAAAGAAAAATGAGGCACTAAGACGTATTGCAAATTTATAAAATTCAGTTTTGAGAAAAATTAAGCAAACTTGAAATTTAACATAAAAAATCAAAGACCTAATTTGAAATGAGCAAAGGACCTGAAAAACTCGCAGAAAACAACACTCAACATCAGTCTATAGATAAGTGCAAACCCTAAAATTAACACTTGCTACCAAGAGGAATGCTGTGCGTCTTTGATGATGTAAGCCAGCTTTCTGATAATAGTGTATGAAATAATTTCATATGTAATGAGTGCTGAAGTATTTTTTTCAAAATGCCATCATCCATTGTCATCTAGAATCAGAGTGTCATGCTTAATTAAGATTCTGTAATTTTGCTGGACAGTAGTGGCGCACGCCTTTAATTCCAGCCCTTGGGAGGCAAAGGCAGGTGATCTCTGTGAGTTTGAGGCCAGCCTGGTCTACAGAGTGAGTTCCAGGACAGCCAGGGCTGTTACATAGAGAAACCCTGTCTCGAGAAAACGAGCAAAACAAAAGATTCAGTAATTTTAGGGCTGAATGGATGGCTCAGCAGTTAAGAGCACTGGCTAATTTTTCAGAGGACCCAAGTTCAACTCCCAGCACATTGCCATCTGTAACTCTAGTTCCAGGGGACCCAGTGCACTGTCCTGTCCCTGTGTGTACATGTGGCACACAGGCACACACATGGGCAGTGCATCAGTATGCATCTAAAATGATTACAAATGGCTTCTGCAGTTTTAGTGGCAGAGGATGCTACTTACTTTGCAGAGTGCTTACATAGCAATGCCTGAAGCTCAGCCTTTCCTCACCAGTACCTCCTAAACTGAGTGTGGTGTCACAGGTCTATAATCACCTCCTATTAGGAGGTGAAGGCTAGAGAGAAGTTCAAAGCTATCCTCAGCTATATAGCAAATTTGGGATCAGCCTAAGACAGATGAGATTCTATCTCAAAAAAAAAAAAAAAAGAAAGAAATAGAAAAAAAAAGGAAAGAAAAGCCTGTGCTTTCACTCTGCCCTGTGATTCCCAACATTAAGCCGCAAGAGCCTTTGGAGTGAGACAGACTCGGAAGCATTTGGTGGCTCCATTGCTTTAAAATGGAATGACTTAACACATTAGTTAACTCCACGGACCTATGTTTCTTCCTCTAATAAGTAAAGTTAATAGTGCTCATGGTTGAGCTGCCTTGAGGGTTGTCTGGTCTGTGTGAAGTATACGTGGCACCCTAACTGCTAACTAGTGTTAGTATCTGTTGTTTTGTCATTTTCTTATTATGGCCTATTCAGTGGTGCCTTTGAGGGGGTGAAGATGCTTTTGAAGAATGAGAGCTGAACCTCAGCAAATGAAGATCTTAGGCAGAGGAAGCAGAGCGACTTGGGAACTTAGCCGACTTGTCAACCCAGCCCTGGCTCAACTTTACCAAACAGAGAACCCTCATTAACAATCCCATGAAGATGACTAGAGAATTTCCTTTGAGCAAACTGTTCCCTGTGAGACAAACAGAAAGACAGAATACACACACACACACACACACACACACACAGAATGGATGCTGATGCAAAGGGGTCATCCAAACAAAAATTACCAGCTACTTATCCCCATGTTTTGCATATATAAATTAATATATTCAATAAACTTTTAAAACTATAGAGTTATGTTAATTATGTTCTAACTTTCAAGTACCTTGTTAAAATTTATTTTTTTGGCCAGTATTAATAGATATGTAATTAAAATTAATCCCCTTTGACTATTCTTCCAAGGAATCCTATTAATATAACAGCAAAATCTTTTTCTTGTACTTCAAAGATAATTATGTTTATACACCGTGGTCTTTCTTATATTGGCAGGAGATCTCTAATGAAAAACACAGCACAGGCACAGAGCATACACAGTACACACTCAGCACACATACAACACGCACCAGCACACAGTACACACATGCTTCGTACACCAGTACTCAAGCAAACATAGCAAACACACTCAGCACACACAAATACCAATACGTAGCACACATGCAACACATGTACACATATACACACCAAAGCACCCAAACATACACATACGCACACACACCACAAACACACATAGTTTGGTAAGTCTATTAAGTGCCCCAGGACTTCTGGGAATACATTTATTACGTTGTGTCTACTAGCCTCATATTATTTCAGCAACCCCCATATACCAGCACCAAGTGGAGCTATACCGAAGTTTTCAGTTATGAATCTCTTAACTAAATACACAGTTATTAACAGAAATACCAAGATAGTAGACATCCTACCTGCTTGATTTTGTAGGTCAGCATCACTGACTACTATGAAAGCATCAAGTGATGGTTTGGGATTCAGGCAGTGAACATGCTCTTGTGCTTTGGAAAAGCATCCACAGTCACAATGCTGATGTAGTTTGTGAGACTCCCCATGTTTCCAAGACTGGAACTACCCTCATGAGATCTACTTTTTTAGAATCTTATTTACCAGTGAGGATGCCAGGGTCCAGTGTGTTGCCATACATGGTAATAAAACCAGACTTAATTGCAGATAGTCTACCACAGACCTGGAACTCGGGCATTAGAGGATGGTTCATTGAAATGAAGGTGTGTGGTAGGAGGAAGATAGGAAGGAGGGCTGGGAGATTGTCAGTTGATAAAATGGTTGTCTTTGAAACCAAGGACCTGAATTCAACACCTAGGGCCCACATAAAAGCAGAGTGCAGTGGCTTATATGTGTAAGTAGTCCCAGAGTAGGAAGACACTACTAGGGCCTGCTGGTCTACCAGCTTAGCCTACTTGATGAGCTCCAGAGGCCATGAGAGACCCTGTTTCAAAACAAATGAAAGAAAAGGAAAAGGTGGATGGTGCCTGAAGAACAGGCAAGGTTGTCCTCCACATATATGTACACACACTCAATGGAAAGCGTTTTCAGTAACTGGCTCACACAAGTTGTCCCCAGCTGATTTTGAGACCAGACAAATGAATATAAGCATAGCCAGCAGGCAATCTCTGGCTTAAGCATCCTTGTGTGGTGAGCTGGCCTCGCATACCTGTCAGCCTGGGTGGAAAGGCTGAGTACCACCTTGGCGGCACTGTTCCCACTCAGACTGCCTCCCCTGAAGTCTGAGGTCCTACCACGGCTACATTCTCGAACGAGCTCCTGGATGGAGCGTGGCTGGACCACAGGGGCTGTGTTCAGGGAGGGGCCCTGCTCCAGGCTCTGCTCCTGAGATGAACCCTCACACTCAAGGTCCCCCAGGAGGCCAGAGCTCCCAGATGTCTTCTGTGGCTGACGGATGGTCAGAGGGGGCTGGGAGGCACCATCACTGAAGTGAGTGTGCTCCAATGTGCCCACATACTCACACACCCTAGAAAGAGGCAGACAAACAGGAAGTGAATATTGTAGCCCATAGTGAGAGAAAAGGAAATCCAGCTAACCCTGGAATTAACCCCAGGTTTTCTCTTACCATACATATTTGGCACTGCCATCTCCTTATTATGTATGTTACTACACAGAGACACAAAATGGGTTTTGATTTGGACCCATCTTGGCATGGGTGAGGGAGTCCTAAGATCCTCTCATCCATCACTCTTCTGGGGGAAAGATAGGCAATGGGGCCCTGTTCATCATTTCTGCATTGCCTGGGTTACTGGTTTACTAGAGTGCTTATTTGAGAAATTTCCCTGAGGACCCTGCTCCCCTATACTATTTTCTGATTAGAAGCTGAGAAACACTTTATAATACCCATGATGGATAGGCTCTCTTGACATAGTAGAACTCTAAACTGTGATGTGTCTGATGGTGATAGCTCCATAAATTTCATGTCCAAGCAGGGATTGGGGCTGAGGGGGTGTCCCCTCGCAACAGAATACACACGTGCAATGGCCAACTCCAAAATGCCTGCTCTCAGTTGAATTTGGGATTGAGATGCTTTCTAAGATATCCTTTATCCTGGATAGAATAGTTGTTGTCCAAGGGCATCCTGGATAGTCCACTCTGGTGTTCCATGATCTTGGGTTTGTTGAACTCACATATATTGCGTGGGTACCACCCAAGTCTCTTCCTTTGCTTCCTTGTAAGACCAGTGCAAAATATCTGGCCATCTGCTTTCCATCACATCCATTTTTGTTCCAGGCTGCTTCATCCTGGTTCTTTCTCACGCTCTTCTTAAGCTGGTCGGTTTTACAGCCCTTGGGTATTCTGAATGGATATTGCTTTCCCCCTAGGAACTTAACAAGAACCTGTGGCTTTACTCAGTGAAGGGAAACTGAACTCGGATCTTGCTGGCCCCCAACCGCTTTCCTCCCATGGTTGATCTGCTTGCAAGTCGCTTCTGTGTGATGCCTTAGATAGATAATGCCTGGTTAAGGCACAGCTGAGCACACCTGAGCAGGGCTTCTTCCTTGCTCTGCTCTAATGACAATCCTTGGGGAGACATGGTTCTTATCTTGGACTTAGGAGTTGGAGTCTGGAGTTGTCATTTTGTTTTTATTTTACAGGTGTTGATTGGGAGTCTCTTCAACTTCTGTGGCACAAAACTCAAGAGTCAATTTTAAAAAATTATTATGTATACAGTGTTCTGCCTATATGTATTCCTGAGGCTAGAATATGGCACTGGATTGCATTGCAGATGGCCATGAGCCACCATGTGGTTGCTGGAAATTGAGCTCAGGACCTCTGGAAGAGCAGCCAGTGCTCTTATCTGCAGAGCCATCTCTCCAGTCCAAGAGTCAAATTTTTTAGTGATCTTTTGCACAGATATACTCTCATGTTCTTGTTTTTCCTTGTCTAGTTAAACTAGATGTCTTTAGTGAGGTATTGTGTGTAATGATGTATATTAACCAAGGTCTTTTTTTTAACATAGGACATTAATGTTGGATTATTGATGCCTGCACACATTTTAAAGTCATTCATTTAAACTGCATGGTTCTCTCCCATCCACCAGTTAAGAATCCCGGCCTTTTCTTCTTTGGTGTAACATAATACATCTGTCTCCCACAGGAGTGCCAACAGATAAATCACAGTTCCCTGAGTCCAGGTCTGCCACTCTGTCCTCCAAAACGTACCTTCGGCGGGTCCTTGTGTCCCGTCCTCCTGGGTCTCACTTGGAACGTGAGTACTCACAATCTACTGAGATGCTGGCAGACCCTGCAGTCCACACCCTCTCTACCACCCCAGGCTTCCCACGGCAAGGGTCGGGGGTGGGGAATCCCATCATGCACCTGAACACGTGTGGCCAGCAGTCCGGGTTGTGGCTTCCCATCTCCAGGCCTACGCTGAGGATGGCATCCATGCACAAGACGTGGGCTGTGTGCAGCCACACCCCCTGCACCTTCCCCATCTGCTCCAGTTTCTGCTCCACTTTTAGTTTCACTGTGCCAGAAAGACAGTTATTAAAATAGCAGGCTGAGCAAGGGAGACAGAAAGGGAGGGAGACAGGCTGGAAATGAAAGAGTGTGTCGTTCGTCATGCGAGGGCCAAGAGCAACAATACACTTCCCTGGCTGCAAGCGCCTCTTCAGCCGGTCCCCACGGTTCACATGCAAACCACTGGATGGACAAGTCTGCATTCACAGGTCAGATGGATCCTGAACTGGGTACACTCCCTCCCAGCACACCCCTGGGCCTAGGCGAGACACAGCCGTGTGGGTGAGCTTCTGTGCTAACTCCAGCTGCGCCATCTGTTTCTAGACCCTCACCCTCCCATGTGCACTCAGATTCATACTATCAAGGAGTTCTCAGCAGTCTGCAAGTCTCTCTGAGCTAGTTTAGTATTGTTTATGCTTTTCTTATGATGGCCATCTCAAAAGCCAAGCCTGTGCACTTGGAGCACAAGCATGGCTTCTTTTCAAGGGAGAATCATGATGCCATTTTACCCTGAGTTCACACTTTTAGCTGTGAGCTACAAATGATGCTTTCTTGAAATATAATGGAGTGGCAATAGCAAGGAGAAGGTTGCATACACTATGCATACCAAACTGGTTTTATTTTGTGTTTGTTTATGATTAGAACATTTTTAGCTTTGTAAGAGTGTTGCTGTGTTTTAGGAACTGTATATGTAAGAATTAAACATTTACAAATGTTTATTTTATGTGCATGAGTGTTTTGCCTGCAGGTATGTATGTGCCTATGTGCATGCTGGTTGCCGCAGAGGTCAGAAGGGGATGCCAGAACCATACAAATGGGTGTGAGCCGCCATGTGGATGCTTGGAACATAACCTGGGTCCCCTGGAAAAGCAGTGATTACCACTGAGTCATCTCTCAAGCCATAAGAAGTTCTTTTAAAGATTCATTTTATTTATTTGTGTGTATGTGTGTCTTTGTGAGTGTGCACACACATGTGTGTAGACATGCATACCCACACATGTGCAGAGAAGCCCGGGTTAGGGTGTTGGATCCCTGAGAACTAAAGTTGGAGGTCTTTGTGTTATGTCTGGCTGGTAATGGGGAGGCTTGGATCTGAGAATCCTTGTCCTTATGATCATCTCTCTTAACCACTGATTCATCTCTCCAGACCCTGAGATTTATATTTTTGAGGTAAGTTCTTGCTACCTTAAATTTGTGATGCTCTCATCTCAAAGTCTTGAGTTCTGGCACACAGATATATTTAGATGACTAAATGTAAAGACTTTGGTGTAGTTGACAGACATATAATACTTAAGTAAACTTTGATTCCTTTTCCCCCCTTTCTCCAGATCTACAAGAACAACTTTGCATGTTAACAGGTTTCTAAATTGCTTGGCTAAAAATACATATTCTCTGTGACTAGATCTTTTACATATCCATGGATAGCATCAGTATAACTTAGATCATGCTTGCATTTTTTCTTCTGCCTGCTGCCTGCCTTGTGTGGTTCACTGCCATTAGAAAAGACATTTTCTTTTCTTTTTGTCTAGAAGAGCATCAGCTTCACTGACCCTTTCCTGTGTCCACAAAGCTCAGGTTTCCTGAGTGAAGTTTTTCTGGCTCTCCTTTTATGGATTCTGTTTGATTTTCACCCTCAGAACAATGGCCAATTTTCCATTCCTACTGTAACCTGAGGGATCTCTAATGTGTACCAGTAGCCTGACGATGATCCAAGGGGGTGGCTCAGTGAGTTGTTATCAGCCAACTCTCCTTTCCTTGTCACTAGTAGCCAGTAAGACTTTCTTGTTGAGAAAGAGACAGGATCAGCACTCAGACTCAAGCCTGTGACCCAGTGGGACTCCTGACTAGTGGAAATTACCTACTGTGCATCACACATAGAATGGGGACCAGTCTCCAGTGTATATGCGGATGTGTGCATAGCACGGCAAAGGCACCAGAAAGGTCCTGCCCGAAGTGGTTACCTTGTGCTATGGCATCACTGGGCTCCTGGGCTTCCCTTTCTTCTTTCTCTTCCTGGACACAGGAAGCAGCCGCCATCTGGGCAAGTGCTGAAGCGCAGTTAGCAGCAACCCCTTGGGAAGACACAGACAGCTGCCCCTTAACTGAGTATGATCTGCAGGTACCTACCAGAGCCCCTTCTAAATGATGACTTTCCTAGTGAGTTAGCAGCAACCCCTTGGGAAGACACAGACAGCTGCCCCTTAACTGAGTATGACCTGCAGGTACGTACCAGAGCCCCTTCTAAATGATGACTTTCCCAGTGAGTTCTGAAGGGACCTTCCCTCAGACCAAAGGTCAGGGACCCCCACAGGTACCTAGTGCACAGCTCAGTCGTGCAGCTTTGCGCAGCCCGTCAAGGCTCATGCAGATGGCATCTCGCTCCTTCTGGTTCTGCTCTTTTATGCCCTCAGCTCCGAGGATGAAGGCCAGCCCCTTGGAGCTTCCTGCCATTCGACCAGTCAAGGGGGTTGACAGAGTATCAATCAGGTTCTTCCAGCAGCCCACCAAAATATAACGAGCAAATGCCACACCTACAAGAAGAAAGGGTTACCCAGGTCACTCTCTAGAGACAAAAAGAATGACAAAATGCCTGAGGTTTTCCAGGCTTCAAGATGAATATCTCTGGCTTGCATGTAATTCTATGGCAGGAAATATAACTTATTAAGACTGTGTTGGGTCAGGTTTCCACACAGTCATCATAAATAATGCATGAGACATCACCACCTCAGTTGGGCAATTTTCATGAGCTACCTTCCTTCCAATACAAAGTCATCATTTATTTAAGCCACTATATAATAATTTGATTTCTGGGGACACATGTAATGTATGCATATTTTAAAGGTAAGGTTGAAGGTCTTACCTGCTACAGTGGAGTCATCAATTCTCCTGCTCTGGGTGAAAGGTGACTCCATTGAAGCTGATGCCATCAACTGGCCACCAATTGCGCTGCTCTCTAAGCCATCAATATCTGCTAAAGAAAAGAGTAAAGTCATCCCCAAGTCTTCCCCTCTGACAGGCCAATCGAAAACCGACAATGGCCACCATGATATTCATATCTTTTTTTAGCAAAAATCCATTGTATCTCTTATGTATGAGTTATAGAGCCCCTTTTCAGACAATATTATAAACGTTGCTTTAGTCCCTCTGTTTTCTTTCATTGTCAAAGCATTGTTTCGTATGCTGTTGTATGCTTTATATTTGATTAAAAATAAGGCTAAACTCTGCCCCTGTCATCACTAAGTATCTGTTCAAGGTGTTTTCATCTTTGGATTCCCTTTTTACTCAAAACCATGGCATTATCATTGATCATATGTACAGAGTACTGCTTCTCAAGTTCTCAACTAAAAAGAACTTACAACCATGCCAGGTTAGTCTTTTTCTTTCATAGCTGTTCCACTAGAACTAAGTAGGGTAAGCCTCCTTGGTCAGATAATTTCCATTCTATATACTGATGATAATACCGTACAATTTTCAAACTGCTTCAGTTAATATTTCTCATTTGATTGTTCCCAGCTACTCAAACCAGGGAAGGGAGGGCTATTATTATTTTCCATTTTACAGGGGAGGAAATTAAGAATTGGAAGCAGGAAAAGGTATCATTTCTGGGTGTTTGGGCTAAGATCCCACTGTAAAGTAAGTAAATTTTCCAAGTTTAAGAAGCTGACAGAATTGGATTTGGTGTTCATGTTTTCTGATTGTAGACCAGGTCTCTTTATAACATCAGGAGCTCCATCCTCTGGACACCAATTCTCTCACTAGAAAAGGAGCTGATCGTGGCATGCAACACATAAATTTGGATATAATGGATACAGTCAAACAAAACACAGTGGAGGGTATGGGAAATGAGGATAAAATAATTTCTTCTGAATTTGGGACTTTACTCTTGCTTGAGTAGGAGAGGATGTTAATACATAGTTTTAAAAATTTTCATTTTATATTGGACTGTTAAAAATGTCAGGAAGCCTTCTAGGCAATGCGTATCAGAAGGTCATTATGGTGGTTTGAAAGAAAATGGCTCCCATAGGGAGTGGCACTATTAGGAGATGTGGCCTTGTTGGAGGAAGTCTGTCACTGTAAGGGCAGGCTTTGAGGTCTTATATGCTCAAGCTACACCATGAATGGGACAGTTTGCTTCCTGTTGCCTGTGGATCAAGATGTAGAATTTTCTGCTGCTTCTCCAGCTCCAAGTCTGCCTGCATGCTGTCATGGTTCCTGTCTCTGAAACTATAAACCCAATTAAATGTTTTCATTTATAAGAGTTGTTGTGGTCATGGTGTCTCTTCAAAGCAATAGAAAAACCTTACAAAGACAGTCATAGAAGGTTGAAATGTATATGGCTGATACTATAGAAAAATTGGCCAGTTTTCTGGAATCAATTTGACTTTCAATCAATGGCCTAATGACATTCACCAGAAATGGTCATTTTATCCAGGGTATAATAGTTCCCATGTACTGGGCACAAAACTAATGAACTAGCAATTTGAAATTTATTTAAGTATAAGGTTTTACATTTCTATGAATTTTTTGCCATGTTATAGGGAGTGGCCTGTTAGCTGATGGTGACACTGTTGGTAGTGCCTCTCCTGGTATACAATGGGAGGGTCAAAAAGTCCTCACACTCTCATTTGGTTCACATCTGGAATTTGTTATAAAGTTTCCTGGACTGTTAGTTATTTTAATTAATTAATTATTATTATTTACCAATGTTTTTGCCTGCATCTATAGATATGGACCAAGCACATGTCATGTCTGGTACCCTGGAGGTCACAAAAATGCATTGCATCCCCTGCAACTCAAAAGTGTCCTTACACTGTCCTGTGGGTGCTGGGAACAGAACCTGGGTCCTCTCTAAGAGCAATAAGTGCTCTTAACTGCTGAGCCATTGCTCCAGCTCTCACAGAATTCTGTTCAATTATTTTGAAAAGACTACATATTGGTTGTCATTATCCTAAAATTAAATAATTACAGACAGAGCGATGGAGCTTATTCTTACATTACAGATGAGGAGCAGTAATGATGGATGAGTACAGTTACTGTGGATAGTCTGCTATTCCTTTCTATTGAATGACTTTTTATTAAACTTTGGGTAAGAGATACATAGAGATTACATCTGGCAGAAATCTCTCATTTCAGATCCTCAGCTGAATTCAAAGGCACTTACACACTAGGCAGCAGTTTCTATCCTAAAGAAGGTAGTTTAGGGAAACAAGGAAACAGAGGGAAACAAAGCATTGCTTATAGTAAGTTAAATGAGCTCCTACAGACATGAATGATTATTTAGTGTGTGTTTCTCTGTGCACTGAAACTGGAGCTCTCTGATTCAGCTAGATTGGCTTCTAGCAAGTGCCAGGGATCCACCATATCCATCCCTCCAGTGCCAGAGTTATAGATGCCTACAACTATGCCTGGTGTTTTATGTAGGTGCTAGGTATCAAACACAGGTCCTTGAGATGATTGCACCTTCTCTCCAGATCCCATGAATGAGTATTTTTCAAGTGGAATAAATAGAGCCATGATTAATAAAGTACAAACTGGTCACTTGTGTCATGGTCCTGATCCTTAAGATGTGGGGTCTAGACTTGCTTTTACCACTTCTTTCTTGATTCTAGAAGAAAAGATTCAAGAAAGTGGCAGGACTCTGCCCTCCAGGGAGGGGCCTCATGACTATATCTCTACCGTTTCCTAACTAAATAGCTCCCTACCTCCAAATTCCTGATTATTGGTTTCAGTCGTACTTTGCCACCTTTATAAAAACCTCAGTGTCTACTATGGACACGATGACATACTTTTAATCAATAGGTCCAACCTCCTAGCTACACTATCCAGCTTTATCCCACCCAGCCCCTGTGTGGTAAACAGTTGACGAGCTTTGAGAAACAGGATACACGACACAAGGCATCTTTTGTGTAGGACCATGCCTTTCTATGTCCCATGAGCTAGAGCAGGAGAGGACAGTTCAGGTTGGAAGTCAATTTTGGGACAGAGAACCAGCTAAAAAATGAAAAGGCTTAACTTCTCAGGGCTTCTGATGAACATATCAAGGCCTTGAACATTGTTGGTAAGCCATAAAAAAACAGAAATACCTGTTCCCAAAAATCATCCCACTCCTAGATACTAAACATACTATTATCAACCTGAAATTTTTAGTAGTTAAAGAGGATATTAAGATTTTTTTACACTGGAACAAGGATTCTGGGAAAGCCAATTTTTGGCATTAATTTATATTCTGAGACATCCGAGAAAGGAACACTGACAGGAAATGGGAATGAGGCCAAGTATAAAATCAATTACTTCATACTCCAAATGCTCAAATCCCAGGAGTGTGGAATGATGTGGGTCTCAATTAGCACGTGAGAGCTTCCAGGAATAACTCTGGGCCAGTGTCCAAAAAACACAAATCCATCAATGGGCCCACAGCATCACTCCAACAGCTGAGGGTGGTGAGTTAGCCCTATCCAATGGCGACAGAGAGCACATCAGGCTGCTCACGACAAAAGGAGAGCAAATGCGTGTGAGGCGCTTCCACGATGCCATCCTGCACCTGCCACTCAAAGTCTGTTCAAGAACCACGACATTTCTAAAAGACCCCAGCACATCAGCTTCCCTGCTACTGCGCACCCCACGACCTTGGCCTGGCCCACTGACCTGTGAGCATGGTGATGAGGGGAAGGCTGTTGTCCTCAGGGCTGCCCCAGTAGCCAGCTTCTCCCAGCATGTTTCTGTCCAGCACCTGATGGTATAGCTCCTCGATCCAGGCCTGGGAGAAGACCATCAGCACGCCACTGGTCTGCACCTGTTTCATGAACTCTTTCTGCAGAGAGGCCATGGAAGGGGACCAAGGACACAACCTGTGAACCAGCAGGTTACCAAACTGGCCCCCACCCCCTTCACGGAACCAGAGCTCTTTATTGTGGGTAGGAGTAACAGAAAAGCTGGGGTGCAGAAGGACCAGGATGCTGTTTTGTGTGTTCTTGTTCTTGGGGGAAGGTTGTCGCCTGCATGGCTACCTTCCATAGCTGCTTCTTCCTGCTCTCCCAACAGCAGCAGGGATAGAATAGGCTCTGGATGGAGTGTATGCACCCAAGAGACACTTGTCCTACACTGTCATAACATCACCAATTAACCTTGGAAAGTTATATATCATTCAAGAAAGACATGGTCATTGATTCCTTTCTGCAGATCCATGACTTAGACCCACAAACTAACATCAAGGAAGTGGTTTCTTCAGCCAAGGGAGCCAATCACAGTATAGTCAACACCATCCTCATTACACACCTTGAAGAAGGTGTTTTATTAAGGCTACTAGTGACCACTGTGCTAATTTCACATCTGGGCTCTCCACCCTCCAGACCTGCACAGGCATGGGTACTACAGAGCAATGGGACACAGAGCACACTAGCCAGTTTCTCCCTACAGACCTGACGCTTGGCTGCATGGTGACAGTGGAGGTGAGAGCTCACCCAGGGGGAAACCTATGCCAGCGCTCATGCTTACCATCATGCCTGGTGCCAGGGTTGGCCGCTTCCGGTAGTAGTCACCGTGGGAGAGCTTCAGGTTGAGCAGTAGGGCACAGTGTGCCGCACTGTACAAGCTGTCTGCATTCATCAACATCTGGAAGCTCAAGCTGCTCCCTCCATCGAAGCCGGGAGAATGCATCATGCCTAGAGGAAGGAATGGAGACACCTGTGGGGCTGCCACAGGGTGTGGGGACCTGTATCTGTTAGCCAGATAGATTCCAGCTGTGCAGAACACTGCTATACGGTACTGATTACCAGCCAGGATGCTTGCAGGACCAGATGCCTACTACAGTATATGAGGACAGGCATGTATTCTCGAGTCCATCTGATACAACTGGACCTTGAGCTGTTAAATAGTAGCCCTCTATTACTTTCTTATGTCTCAAACTTTCCAGCTGCTTTCCATGACAACATAGTATCACCCAACCACACCCCCTCTCCTTCAGCTCTCAATCTGCTTTCTATTTCTTCCCACCCTCCCCTACATCTGCCTCGAGGTCTGTGTCATCTTTGCCCAGAACAGTCTCCCAGACCTCTGATGGGTTCCTCTTTTGAATGTTTCAGGTCTGAAGTCAGTGTCTCAGAGACCTTTCCTTTCAATTCCATAGTTTCCTTCATAGCCACGGGAACTGCTTTCCCTCCTATACTTACTGCCTTAATGCCATATGTTCTACCCAGCATTTTATTAATAGATAGGTTATGTAACATAGGTGTGTGTGTGCGTGTGCGTGTGTGCACATGTGTGTGCGTGCGTGCGTGCGTGTGTGCGTGCGTGCGTGTGTGTGTGTGTGTGTGTGTGTGTGTGTGTGTGTTATGCTAGGGACTGAAGCCAGGCTCTCACACATGCCAGATTGATGCTTTACCTGTTAATCAATATCTACAGCCCTTGGAAACAGGTCTCACTGTTACTCATGCTGGTTTCATATTTGATCCTCCTGTCTCAGCCTCCCAGGAGCCGAGATTATAGACAAAGGTCACTGTGGAAAACTGCACGTTTGTTTACAGTCTGCTCTCAGCACTCGGATGCAAGATCTGAGAGAAGCTGTGGCTTTTAGTTTTGTTCACTAGAAGTCTTCCACCTACAATAGTGCCTGTCACAGGGCAGATTCTTCTAAGCATTCGATGCATGAATGAGAATTCTCATGGCTACTACAAAACCAACTGTAGTCATTCATCTAAGGTACCTAAGGCAGTAATTAACACAAAAACATTGAAGTTTGGAGCCAGGTGGGGTGCCATATGCATGTATCTTACCATACAGGTAACTGGGTTTCATAATGAATCTGAGGCAAACTTGGGCTACATAAAGGTCTTGTTTAAAGAATAAAAAGTAAAAGTAAACATGTTTCTCAAAAAGCTAAACACAAACTGGGCATGGTGATACACATCTTGGCATTCAGGAGGCTGAGGCAGGAGGATCTCTGTGAGTTCATTTAAGGCCAGCATGGTTTAAAAAGCAAGTTCCAGGCCAGCCAGAGCTGTATAGGGAGACATTATCTCAAACAAACAACCAATCCCAAAGCAAATATAAGCAAACGAAAAAGCTAAACACAAAATTATTGTAGTAATTGGCCAATCTACTCTGCATTATATGCTCTGAAGAACTGTAAGCAGGATTTGATCTTGTATTTGACCATCAGTGCTAACTGCAGGATTATTTGCAATAGCTAGAAGGTGAAAACAACCACATGTCTAGCAAGGGACAAATTCAACTGAATAATATTCAAATGGAATATTATTCTGCACGTAACCCCAATGAACCTTGAGAACATTATGCTAAGTACAATAAGCCAGATGAAAATGACAAGATACATGATCTGCTCATATTCACTCCCTAGACTTGATTTTAGTCAAGTTTATCAAAACAGTAGAAACCTAAGACAACATATCTATTGTGGATTTGAACTCAAATTGAGCTTGTCGGTGTTCTGTCATAGAAAGGGAGGTACTCACCGGGTCTCACCCCTCCCTGAGGATTTATATAATGACTGATGACAGGGAAGGGAGTAATCATCTTCAGTGGTCTAGCTATTGGTAAGGTGCCAATAATCCTGTAAACAAAACCTCACCCATTCCCTCCTGCACAACCTTCAGGAAATTCACTGGGTCACTACCACCCCCACCCCCACTCCATCCCCACCCTCACTGACAAGAAAGAAATAAGGGAGGAAAGAAAGAGGAAAAAGAAAGTAGGAGGAGATTAGCGGTGAAGGAGATCAGAGGGTAAAGAAGGGTGAATGTAATAAAAATACATTATGTACATGTATTAAAATGTCATGTCGTAATGAAGTCTATTGCTACATATAATTAATATATGATAAAGCATTACAAAGTCAGATATCTGGCTTGTGATGCATGTTGCCTTTACTGACCAAATCATCTCCCTGTCCCATTGCATAATTATTATTGCCAACAGAAGACTGTATATATAACTTTACCATTTTTCCATAGACTCAATCATTACCACAACCAGCAACAGTGCTGGGCTCTGACACACAGCTGTTTTGAACCACCAATTTCTGATGGGCTATCTCCTTGGCACCAAGGACAGCTGGTCAGAGAGCAGTCCAGGCTGTGGAGCTTGTCTCTGAATCATAAACCTCCACCCACAATCCTCTAGTCCTTTACTCTCTTCAACAAAGGAAACCCTAGGGTTCACTAACATGCCTGAAGCCAGTGATTCTCAGCCTGTGGGTTGCAACTTTGTTGGGGTCATGTATCAGATATTTACATTACAATTTATAACAGTAGCAAAATTATAGTTATGAAGTAGCAGTGAAATGATTGTATGGCTGGGGGTCACCCCGGCATGAGGAACTGTATTAAAGGGAAACAGCATCAGCAAGGTTGAGAACCATTGCTTTAAGCACTTCAAACTACAAGCAGGAAGATTATGGCCTATAAAGGTACACCGCTCTAAATGTTCTGTTGCCTGTACAGCAGAAGACAGTCTACAGACCTGAGCAGAAAGTGGAGGCAAAGTTCTGAAGGGCGGTGTCCACCTCTTCCACACTGGACAGGGCTAGGAGGCGGGGAAGGAGGCCCTCGAGGGACTGCACAAACAGCCGTGCGCTGTGCTGGTCGGCCTCCTGGTTCTTCAGCAGTTTGAGAGACAGAGCAGCCGTGCGCAGGGATCGATGGCCCATGTAGTCCCGGGGGGTCTGCTCTTCATCAGCCAGTGAACAGTTGTCCGACCCAATGTCTGACACATCAGACCTACCCGAGTCTTTTTCTGCTGCCATGGAGTACTGATCACACGAATCAAATTCTGTCCTCGACAGGTCTTGGTCATCTACGCTGAAGTTGCTCTCACTGTACCTGGATCCGTAGGACCTTGTCCTGCAGTCTACTGACAGGAAGTTAGTGATGTCAGGGTAAGGGACTGTGTGGCTTCTCTGAACTACATCGGGCTGGTCTATGGCCTCTTGTTCTGACACTTTGCACATGGTCTCCTTGCCTTCCTGAATAGCTGGTGACTTGAACCCATTCCTGTGGTCCTCTGGTGTTGTCTGACCCAATTCTCCCTCCAAGGTAGTCTGGCCTGTGTCTGTGGTGACACTGATGCTGATGTCTGGGCTTCTCTCGTTACCTGACTCCCATGGCGTGTGCTCTGAAGACAGCACTCGCCGCTGCCAGCGGAAGTCAGCCTCATTAATCTCCATGGAATCCCGGCTTGACTCGGCCCCATCCCTCAGCTCTTCAAGGCGCAGAAGCAGCAGTTGGACTTGACTCTCATTCAAGCCCTTCCCCTGGCTGAGTTCATCCAGGGCCCCAAGCAAGGTGCAGACACAAGACACGGCAGCGTAACAGGCTTCGATGCCACCTTTGATGCATGCTTCTGTCATGCCATCCATGATGCTAGACAGGGTTCAAGATAGAAAATAGCACACAGACATAAAAGATCAAGAAATCCCTAAATACACAAGAGTTAGTCTGGCCAACTGCACAGTATCAAAAGAAATAGTCTAACTTGCATAATACCAGGGGGTCTAGACAATAAATGACACAAACATGCTCAGGCAGGGAAAAAAACTCCAGGTAGGGTTCCTTACCTAAAGCCATAGCCCTCTTGGTTGACTAGCTTTTCTGGGTACAAGTGAAAATTCTAGAAGGAAATGTGTCATTTTATTCAAGAACTGACACTGAAAATTTTTGTATTATGTTCAGACCTTCAAATAGGACAATTTTTGTAGAATCCTGAAGATGTTTCCATGGTAACATTTTCTCTAGGTATATGCCAGTATAATTATTACAAACCATAGAACGTTGAGTTTTCTATGGAGGTTACTATAATAGAATGCTGCAGTTCTTACTATAAATCAAAAATTCTTCCCTTAAATAATTCCAGTGAATAATTTGTTTCATGTGTAGATTCAGTTTTAAGCCAATATTGAAATCTGGCAAGTTATAAGTAATACAAATTGATATGTTTGTGGGTAAATAATTAAATATGCACATTTCATGCATGTAGACTCATCAAATTTTCATGAATTTGGGGTTAAGAGGAAAAATGTTCAGAGAAGTTGAACACCTCAAGGTAGAAAATACCACCCAGGCCTGAAAACTCAAGAAATTTCTCTAAATATATACAAGAGTTATTGGCTTGACCAACTGTGCAGTATTCAAAAGACATAGTCAAACTTACATAATATCCAATGGATCTAGACAATGAATGACACAAACATGTTCAAGGTGGGAAAAATTCCAAGTAAAGTTCCCCACTTAAAACCACACATCCTCAATCAATATTGTATGCTGGCCAATCAGCATGGACCCCAAAAGGAAAATGGACGTACAGTTTGAGAAGATCCAAGTGAGACTTTCTTTTGGAAATAGATCTTTTCCTCGGTTCCAACTCAGTAGAGCTGGGTCCAGCCAAGTCATAGAGCCGCTGGGGGCTCCCGAGTATCTTTAGAAAAACAGAGAAGAACAGACAAGTGAGTATCACAAGCCCCCAAATACACCAAGTCTTAAAGTTCTGAGATCAAATGAACAGCACGTGTTTCTTTAGTGAAGAGCCCAAAGCAGGAGGGATGATTCTGGGTTGAGGATCTTTTCTTGGAAATGCTTAGAATCAGGAGCATCTCTGATTTGGGATTTTCTTTTTCAGATTTTGACCTGTTTGTACATATGCAGCAAGGCATTTTCAGGGTGACTGATGCCTGTAGTTGTCGTGTCATATTTGAATGAGATATAATCTTAGTCTTGGGCATTGAAATTCTTGGTCCCAAATAGTGGCACTGTTTGGGTAGGTTTAAAAGGCATGGTCTGAGCCGGGCGTTGGTGGCACACTCCTTTAATCCCATCACTTGGGAGGCAGAGGCAGGCGGATCTCTGTGAGTTTGAGGCCAGCCTGGTCTACAGAGCAAGTTCTAGGACAGCCTCCAAAGCTACAGAGAAACCCTGTCTCGAAAAAACAAAACAAAAAACAAAACAAAACAAAAGGTGTGGTCTTGGTGGAGGAAGTATGTCACTAGGGGTGGGTGTTGAGGTTGCAGAAAATGATGTCCATCTCCAGTTTCCCATCCCTTCCTGCCTACAGTTGGAGATGTGACCTCCCAGCTGTTCCTGACACTTGTGACTTCTGTCTGCTGCCACAATTCCTTGCCATGATGGACTCACCCTCTGAAACTAAGTCCAAATCACTTTTTTCTTCTGTAAGTTGTCCTGGTCATGGTGTTTTATCACAGCAATAGAAAAGTTACTCATATAGAACCACAGTTTAACAGCAAATTCATTTCACAGACACCTTCGTCTGAAGGTAATGTTACATGATATTATTAAAACTGTGATGCATGAGGGTCTTAAAGCATGGCATTTTCTACTTGTGGTATTATGGTGATACTGAAGAAACATCTGCACTTCAGACTAATGATGTTAAATGAATGTTTTGATAAGATTAACTGAAGCTACAAAATAATAAGCTACAAAATGAAATGTGGTGCCCTGTTACAACTGTCGTCTCCATGCTGTACAATGGCTCTCTAGAACTTGGTCACACTAAGTCACTTAGCCAGCACCTCTCCAACTTCCATCACCACATTCCCGGTGATCACCATTCTAATTTCTGCTTCTATGTGTTCAGGAGTTTTAGAATCCACACAAAAATGGGATCAAGTGGTACTTTCTGCACCTAGTTTATTTCTTAGTGTAATTCATCCATGTTGTTGCCAAGGACAAAATTTCCTTCTTTCTTAGGATAAATCATTATTCCATCAATATGATTTTGACTAGATTTAATTTATATCTACTGTGGTCCTAGTCACTGCATGCTGTGACAATATATTGGAGATGATATTATACGGAATGACTGTAAGTCAAGCAGCAACAGTAGGCAGGGGGCTACCAATTTCCTAGCTGACATGTTCTTTCAGTGATTTTCTTACAGTTCTTTAGTTCTTTAGCTCTGAGAGAACTGCAGAGATCGGCATGTTTTGAGATGCCTTACTCTTCTTTGGGAGTTGTGCTTTTTGTTTTGTTTTGTTTTGTTTTTCAAATTAAATGAGGACAACACAGCTACAAGTAATAAAATATTCTCTTTTGCAGGGATGGGACCAATAAGGTGAGGCAACATGGATACTTCTACAGAAAGTTATTTGAGGATTATGGAGTTGGTACATCGATTCATGAACCTTTCCTTGGGTATCTGGCAGACCCATGTGATTAACTCTGAGGAGGGCAGGTTTTGTTTTCAGGGTGCCCCTCTTGGTACACCTCTGACAATTTCACACAGGCTGAGGTCCAGAAACAAAAGAAGTGGTTTCACCATACTTAAGCAATCTGTGGCCCTTTCCCTATTCTGTCCTTCTAACCAGGAGATATTTCCAAAAACAATTATTCAAAAGTTGTTTGAAAGTCTTTTGCTGTTGTTAAAACCCAGATGTCACCAACTTCCCTACAGGGACAACCTGGCTGGAATTCATCTGCTTGGTTTCCCAGGGCAACACTGGTAACACGCATGACTTGGAGGTGTTTAATCTAGTGGTGCCTTGGGAAGCACCTTAGGTTAAATGTGAGAGGGGAAATACACAAAGGTATACAAAATATATGGGAGGGTATAAGGGCTTCCTTACAGCCTGCTGCTAAGCTATTGGTGTGCTGGGGCAGAACACATGGAGAAGAGGGCAAAGGATTTCTTTTAGCAAGAAACCAACAAAGCTCTTCTGTGTATGTCCCAAGCATCAGGTCATTCTGTTTCTGACCTGGGCTAGTTCACCTCTCCTTAAGCAGTGCTCCGTTGCTCCTGGGAGGTCACCATATTGATGCTGGATTTAGTATAGACTCCCAATTCCCAATGGCACACAACAACATAGAATTCCTGGATTCAAGCCACCCTCCTGGCTCAGCCTCCTGGGTAGCTGGAACTACACAAACATACCACAGCATCTGGCAAGTCATTCTGAAATCTGATTTTGCCAAGGTGATCAAACGTGGATATCTGCACAGAGACGAACCCACATGAATGGGATGACATTTCAGGTGCACATCTATTGGAGTTTTAACTAACACCAAGCTAATTAACAAAGAGTTTGGAACCACTGGATTTTTCTAACTTTTTTTTTTTTACCATAGCTCCCAAAATATATGACCACCAACTTTAGCACTGTTTGTTACTGAATTCCATGTGGTAGCAATGACACCCCAGCAGAGATGACGAATGTTCAGACAGTAGGAGACTGCATAGAGACATGGGCAAACCCAAGGCATCCTCTGGGTACCTCCCTACCTCTTTCATGATTTTGATGGCTTCCACGCGGTGCTGGGGCGGGGGATACAGGAGCACACGGTGATAGAGGGACTGGAGCACCGGCTTCATGGAATCCACTGACCCCACTAAGCGGACGAGCTCAGCTGCAAGGTAATAGATGGTGCGGGCCACAGGTCCACTGAGGGTGGGTGCAGTGCAGGAGCAACCTGAGCCTCGGCCATGGTCAGACACACCAGGAGAGGCAGAGTCCGACTCCACGTTGGTGCTGCTGCTGCTGCTGCTGCTGTGAGCAGAGGTGATGGTTTTGTCGTGAATGGGGTTCCCCAGGATCACAATGAGAGCAGGGCAGAGACTTTTCCTGGGAAGCCGCAGGAGGAAAAGACAAGCCTTACTGGATGCTGAGTGATCAAATATGAATGCAGTCAGGAAGGTAAGTAGTTGCCATGGAAATATCCAGGAAGAGCAGGGGTCCCTACTCTTCCTTCTTTTGCCTATGTTACACCCTGTATACCCAGTCTTCCCCATTTCTCATGCTAATGTTAGCTAAATAAAGTGTCAAGAGAAGCATTCAAGGACCATTCCTGTCGGGGAGGGGGGTGGATGTGCATGTGTGTTGAACAAATAGGGCTCAGAATGCTGAAAGGCTTCCTCACCAAGTTTCATTTTACTATGAATTAACAGAGTCATTGCTCATTTAAGGTGTCAGTTTCAAATTCCATACTGCTACCCATCTCTCAGCTTGCTCCATCAATAAAAATGGGATCTACGGCTTTATTGATTGGCTGCCGACGGGGCTTATCACTCCCTGGAATCTCTGGGCATGAGTAGACAATTAGCACTCTTGTGGCGCTACCGACCAGTTCATGGTTAGATTTTCTTGTGCCATGTACATTCCTGATATGTTTATATGCTTTTAGAACAAACTAGGAACCCAGATTCACTTGGTCTGGTCTCCTGTGATCCCATTGATGTAAATGGCCTAAGGGGGCTGCCAGAAGCATGTTTGTTATACTAGCCACTAGTTTCTCTCTGGAATTTGGGCTGATGTACACAAATAAAGCAATTCTCCTATCCGGAGGACACGTACACACAGATGAAACAATGGCTAGGTCATGGGTGCTGTGGAATGAGACCGAGATACAGCTACTGGAGTCCTCGGATGGCATGCGGGCATCAGGGGTCTATGCTCACCAGATGAGGTCAGTGAAGCCCCTGTGCAGGTACATGCAGGAGGAGGAGCTGCTGAGCATGGAGAGAATGCATTCCAGGTACAGAAGCTGCAGCTGCTGGCTGTCGCTGTGAGGCACAAAAGGCAAAATGAGAGAGGAGGCTCCGGGGCAGAACCTGAACAAACTTTAGGCATCACGCAAAGGGGTGTGTGGTGACTGTCAGAGGTAGAGCTCTGTCTCCCGGACTGAAGTCCTACTCCCCAGCAGCTGAGCAGTGGTCTTCTCTGGGGCAAAGTTAAAGTGACCGCATCAGCCCGGGCCTTATTCCAGTGTAACAGGTGTCCCCAGAGAGAAAACCTGTGGACACGGAGGCTCGCACACAGGGAAGGCTGTAAGAAGAGGCAGGGGGAGACGGCTCTCCTCAAGGCAAGCGGGAAGGTGGAGGCGTGGACGAGGCTCTGACACTGCTCAGGATGAACTGTCCTGACCTTGACATGCCAGCCTCCAGAACAGTTAGGAGATAACACTGCCACCCCCAACCTCCCCCCCACCCCCGCAAGGCACCTAGCCTTTGGTACCCTGTTATGGTGGCCCTAAGTGATAGAGTTAGGCTGAGTTGAGGAAACAAGTAAACTTTACTTAGGAGAAAGGTTTCTGAGTATTGGTAAGCAACTGAGTGTGAAACAGAATGACCATGTCTTTTGTCCTTCACACACAGCTTGTCGCAACCACATCTTACACCAGTATAATACATTTTCTACAGTTAGTGTGCAAATGGTGATATGTTAGCCAAACCCTGAATACGCCAGAAACGATAATTATCACTGCTGACTTAACTTGCTAAGAAACATTTATACATTTATACCATCTTTTCTTTTCCTATCTCTCTTGAACCCCCCCTTTCCTTTCTTCTTTGTACTGGGGCTTAAATCCAGGGCTTCACACATGCTAGGCAAGCAACTTAATATTGACATAACACCCCCAGCTCACCATATTATCTCATTAACTAACACTTCACTGATTCCCAGTCCTCGCGTCTTCTTTATTTATTAAGGAAACATGCTTTAAAATGTTTAATTAATATACATGACTATTTTGTTTACATGTATGTCTGGGCAAAACATATGTACTTGGTGCCCCAGTAGGCTAGAACACGGTATTGAATCCTCTGGAACTGGAGTTACAGATAGTTGTTAGTCACCAGGTGGGTGGTGAGAATTAAACTCTAGTTTTATGGATGAGCAGCCAGAGCTCTTAACTGTGGAGGCATCTCTCCAGCCCCCAAATATATATGTATGTATGTATGTATTTTTACAGACAGCTCTACAGGAAACACAGTCTTATGTCCCCAGCTTGTGTTTCCTCTCAGTGTCACCAAAGGGTGCTAAAGTCCCAGTATGTGGTGAGACTCATAGGAATGGAGAAAACTTTCAAAGACACATTTACGTGAAGTACAAATCTTTTAGAGAGAAATGATCCAAGAATCTCTTATGGAGGGGGGCTATGCTAATAATAATATTCAGTTACTCCCGTTTTTCTCTCAATTTAAAATAAATGCCAAATAAAATAAAATAAAATAAAATAAAATAAATGTTCTCAACAGTTAAGTGGTTCCCTACAGCAGGAGGCGGAAGGGGAGGGGCTTAGAAGTGGGGAAGAGGGAAAAGGAAACTGTCCATCTGTCCTAGAGGCCAGCAGTTCATACTCCTGCCAAACTGACAAAGACCCCGATGCAAGACAAGGCAGAGTGAGGTGGAGGTTGGGGGTGGCTCTACAGTAATACCCCAAACCAACTTCAGACTCTAAAACCGGCTGGCGAACTATGGCTCAGAGGCCAAACCCCGTGAATTTAAAAGCATCTTTGTATTTTAAGGGGCTATGAAGCCAACCTCTTAAAAAGCCCATCCGAAGACACATTATATGGCCTGTTACAGAAAAAGTCCCCCAATCCACAGTCTAAGAGATCTTTGTCCCCACACTCCAGGATTAATGTCAACACACTGGAAGAGTGCTCACACTTGCATTTACACTCTGAAGACGGGAGGGAGGGGGATAAAGGATGAGTTGCCACAGAAGTTACTAACCTTTTGGCAAAAGGATGGTGATGGTTACAATGTAGAAGAATGAGAAGAACAAGAAGCATTAACCCTTTGCAGGCCAAGTAAAGACTTCCCATTTCTAGCCTCCCCGTCCTACACGTTTCCTCGGCCTTTCACTGCTCTGACAATGGCACACTCTTCACCGCGGGGTGAGATGCGGAAGCACACAGATCAAGCGCTGATGTCAAGGGCTGCAAAGGAATCCCTCCGTGTAAGTTTCTAGGATGCTGCCTAGGGGGAGCGCCCCATCAGAAAGGTCCAGGAGGAATGTGATAGGACATGCTGCCTTTGTACAAGCCGAAATTCAAGCGGGTATCTGGGGCATTGCGGAGCTGTGAAGGAGAGTGTGGGCAAATGCACAGAGGGGTAGCACACTGTGCACACCGCGGACTGCGGGGCTTTCAGGTGAGGATCGTGTGTGCAGGGGTGGAGCTAGAAGCCAGGCACAGCGGTGCATGTCTGCAATCCCACTGCCTGGGGAATTGAGGCAGGAGGATCAGGCGCTCAGGGTCATTTGTAGCTGTATGTAAGGAACAGGGACAGTCAGGGGGTCTGGATCGGTCCTATGCTAGTTTCCCAGCTATCAGTCTGGGATCGAAACTATGCACTTAGCAGGGCTGGGCGCTACTCCTCTTGGTCTTTTGTGACCATTTCACAATCGGCAGATTTTCTGCTGGGTGACTCATTGCCTGCTCATTGCTAAGATCTATTCAGGTACACATCCAAGCAGAGCAATTCTCCACAGTGGATAGCCTGGCCATACAGCTGAGCAGCCACCCAGGTTAATTAGTAGCACTTTCAGCATCTCAAGCTGGAGTTCTCACAGTGTTGGGTTTTAAATGTTTTTTTTTTGTTTGTTTTTTTAATCTTCAAATGTTTGCTCCCCTTTGGTCCAGATTTGAATTTAATTAGAAAAATAAGAGAAGGAAGCAAGCAATTATATAAGAGCTGGGGTAGAATTATAACAATTGATATGGCCACTTGGGGCTGACCTTATTGATTCCATGCCTTCTTTGGTATAGTTTCCTGTCTGACACACTTTGGAGAGGGGACTGGGACAGAGTGACAGATGACAGAGAATGACTCACATGCCACGCTAAGCCCAGTTATTCTCTGTAAAAACTCTTGAGCTGAAGAGAGACCATGTTGTTCAACTTGTCTAATATAGAAGTCTATTAATAGCACATCTCCAAGGCCTGTGGGTGAGATGTACTGAGCATCTCAATGTATTTCAGAATTCTCTGCAGAGACTGAGTGTATTGCAAATACATGTCTCTATGGGACTAAGCCCTGGGGGGCACCTGGGATCTGGTGTTGAAAATGATTGTAAGGGGAAACACTACCCATTGGAATCTCAAAGGGGCAAAGGCTACTTAAAAGACAGACAGAGTATCTGGTTTAGCTAATAGAAAAGAAGCAACTGAGGATGCAGAATCAGGAGAGAGCACACAAACACGAACATGTGAGAAGAGACGAACACTAGACTGCCAACAGAGAAGTGCGGGGTGCCTCCACTAAGCATGCAGCACCCCAGCTTCTTTAGCAAACCCATCCCTCCACCTGAGGGTACTGATATTATTGGCAGAGATCACAAGCAACCAAATTCCAGAGGCAGGATTACGATCAGGGGCAATGTATCAAAAACCCCAAGACTGCACATCCTCTCAAAAGCATGCAACAGAGTGCTAGCCTGCCTAAAGCTGTCTACGACTCAAGAGAAAAATGTGTTAGAGGCCATAGGAATTGCTTTCCCATTTAAAGACTCTCCTGATGAACACTTGTGCCTTTTGGTTTTGAGAGAGAGGGAGGGAGGGAGGAAGGAGGAAGAGAAGGAGGAAGAGGAGGAGGAGGAGGAGGAGGAGAGAGAGAGAGACAGAGCATTTGCTATGTAGGTTTGTGCTTTGCACTTTCCTAAAAAGCTAGGAACAAATTTGTCATTAAAAATTTCAATGTTCCCAACTGTATCATAAAGTAGGATCAGTGCCAGCAAGTCTCAGAGCACACAAGCCAGTTTAGAACCAGGACATATCAAATATCCACTGCATGCCAGTCACAGTGCAGTTTAAAGGACTCCACACATAATACTACTTCCTTAAAGACATCAAAACTAAATGCCTGTAATACTTACACACCGGGAAAAACCCTGCATGTCCTGAATAAGTCAAACCATCACCTTCTAGGTCTTTGTGACTCATGTTGGAGCCACCAGCATACAAAAAATCATAAAATTAGGGCCAGGTATTTATAGAACCTAACTGAAGAATTTTTTTCTATCAATGAGGAATATACAGTTTAATTCTACCATTTATATACTTTCAGGCTCATTTTGACCTATCCCGATGGTTGTATTTTAATTATAAATCACCATGAGTACAAACAAGAGACTTCTGTGCAATTTAAAAGCTCAAGGTTTTTTTTCCTTATGAAGCTGTTCAAAAGTTTAACTTATTTCTTTTCAGTAATGACCCCAATCTTTCTATTTTTTTTTCAAAGTTTCAGTGTCCTTTGCTGTACTTGCTATCAGAGTCAAGGCCTAGGAAGGGTGGGTGAGGAAGACACATCTTTGAGAGTGGCAACTCCCTCATTGCTACCAGCCAGATGAACCTTTCTAATGAACATCAACATTGCCATTGAGTGTTAGGAGCAGACGAGACGTCTGCATGATTGCGGCCAAGCAATCTGGAAGCGCCTGAGCAAACACACTCAAACTGTGGCTAAGGGAAGCAGAGAGGGTGTATCCCTGAAGGTGGCCAGATCCCTTCCCCTGTGAGAGGTGCCCACTTCTTCTCTAGTGACAGCCCACCCAACTGTTTCTTTCATAGGGCTATATAGAAGTTAAGACACCCGATGGTAGAATTGACCATATATCCTGACAAGACTCAATCCTTGGACATAAGTCTCATTTTGCTGTAAAATCACTTAACTCAAACTAAAATTGTATTATAGTCTTTCTTAATCCATTTTTACTGGGTACTCTTTTGTACTCATTGTAACAAATTAGCAATGCTAATTCTTTAGCCTGAGGTGTTGCTGGTCATCTCAGAGGGTGAGCATCAGTTGACTTCTAAGGAAGCTTCTTCATTTGTTCCTATAGTAACACTGAAATATTTTACATGACATATAATATTACGTTACCCAATATATACTGAAAGTAATATGTAATATATTAACTGTTGTCTAGAAAGTATGAACTTAGCATGCTTGTACTCTTTATCAAAAGTCAAATGTTAAGGACCAGAATAGGGAATGTCAGAAGAAAAAAGCCTATGTAATCCAGCCTTGTCATTAACAGAGGACAAAAGCCCAGCCAGGTCCCATGAGTCACACAGCAGAGCCATGCCCAAGTCTGTACCCACTCTCACAGATACCGGGTCTGACTGTCACATTCTCTACTCAGCTCTGGGCTCAAGGGACTTGCTCTTCTCTCTAAGTATTGTTCCCCATTTTCACTTCAGATCTCTGAATGTATTTCTCAGGAATGACAGGGGGAAGGAACTCCTGAACAGATGAGTACTCTATAGCTTCAATGATGTTGTAGATAGAAGTTGTTTCAAAATTAACTGTTGTTGGATAGCAGCCAGGGTGGAAGGGGACTTACTTTATGGAGGCTTGGAGCTTCTCACACAGGACAGCAAGGACAGAGACAACGTCATCACAAAGGGCCTCTACTGTTGAGCCTTCAAAACAGATGAGGCACAAGCATTAGACACTGGTGTACCAGAAGCTCCCTCAATGTCCTTCCCATCCCGTGCTTTAGATGGGCTTGAAGATTTTTAGATATGAGGCCTCTTTTAGGCCACCAGAACAATCATATAAAAGAGAAGACTAGGATAGAGTCACTCCTTTTAATGTAAAACACTCAAAAGACAACCCAAGGAGAAAATAAATGATTGTTTCTCATTATAAGTAAGTTTTGTCTACAGTTAATGCAGAGCTGTATGGTGAATTAATAAAGATAACAACATAATTCTAGAACAATAACATTACATGCCACTCAGGTTTCTATAACTCTCTGCTCAATTCTCATTTTAGCAATTAAACCTGGATCCATGGAGAATGAAGAACAGAAAGAAAAAAGACAGAAGGGAGGGGAGGGAGAAACAAAAAAAAAACCCACATGGGAGAGATGAAGTGCTAATTTCCCTCACACAGTTGGCACGGGAGACTGTAGGAACAGAAGGAAGACAGCAGCTGGTTAGATAATGCTCACAAGGCGAAGCCAAGCAGAGCTTGGACCATCTCAGTTTCATGCACCAAATAGGTATTCTTACACCCCGTCCTTTTAAAAATGTCTAGAAAAAACTAAATGCAATACCTTGACTCCCGAATTCCTGTGGAGCATCTGGGTTTTCAATTATCTAGTGAGCGAGACACAGAGACAATTAGATACATTCAGGCAAGAAAAGTCCCGATTTTCGGACAATGCAAAGTTCTAGGAAACCAAATGGCATCCTGAGTACTCTGGGTTCAGATGCCAAACAAGCACACTGGAAGCATCCCACTGCTCATGACCCTGATGAGAAAGAGTGGAGTATGTCAGTTTCCACTATTCAAGCATTCAAACACTTCCTGGAACTTGTGCCATGGTGTACTTTCATTGTGGGGGCTACAACTTGGCAGTGTCTACCGGAAGAGGTGAGTTAATCTTTGTACAGACAACAATTCATCGCAAGGTGACAGGATACACTATTCTTGGCCCTAACAGATCTAGACATAGCCATAAGAATCATCCTTGATGGACTTGGGGACACAGGTTCAAAGAGGAGCACAGCTCAGAGCACTGCCTTCCTGTTTGACGGGGAAGCATATTAACTCGTGACTGTTAAGCAGCCTGTCTTGGCGGTCACTGGGTAGAGTGACCTATTAGAACTATTAGAGCAGAGACACCAACTAGGAAAAACAGGATATGAAAGGCTTACACATAAGATGGCTCACGTTTTCATGGCAGGCATAATTCCGTGACTGCAGAGCTGAGAATGGGAAGGAGGTGACTAGGGTCCCCTACCTCTCGATGGCAGAAATTATTATGATGAGAACACATTTTCATGCTAGTTAGCTACCTGCCATGTTAATCATCCCACAGTGCTGCATCTTTAAGACACTCTACAGGCGCACATGTCTACTGCTCTGTATTCAAAATCTGTCAAATCAGCTGCTTCCACAGCTAGGCTATAAGGCAAGTTCTATCACAGGTACAGTTGATCCTTGCCCAAAACATTATTATGACTGCCCTCTATTTACAATTCCAAAAAATAAGATTAATGAACATAATTTGGAGTACTTTGAACTATTACATTTAAATGTTTTATTTAAAAATCTTAGGTGTTATTAGTAGTAAAATCTTCAATTGTGTCATCAGTTAGCAAGGATGAAATATGACATTATTTTATAATTTTTAGCATCTTAAAGTCCTTCTTTTCTCCAAATGTGTTTTCCATTGACAGATTATTTTGAGCCAACATTCCTATATCCAGAATATCCAAAATCACAGGATAAATGAGATCATTTTCAACAAAGGGTTAGCTAAAGAAAACTGGTATCTTAGATAATCAGAAACTCTGGCTTTGGGTAAAGCAAGTGAAAGGGAAAAAATAATCATTATTTGTTTTTCCAAATTATTACTGCTTGCCTGTACTGGCTGCCAGAGCACATGTGGATGGAGAATGTAGCCTGGGAGTCAGAGCCCAGGCCTTAACTTTTCTTCCTTCAAGGATAGCTCATTAACTTTACAGCTCAATTATATCTGTCCATGCTTTATTATCTCATCTGTAAAATAAGGAATGCAGAAAGTTGACTTGACTATCTGTAGGGTTCCTTTCAAGTCCACGGTTTCCTCAAAAATTAGAAAACAACCGAAGTTAAAAAAGTGGGGGGAGGGAGATATTTGAAATTAAACAGCCAAAAAAAAAATATCCATCTCTGTCTGCAATATTTCCAACTGAGATTTCCTATCCCTCAAAATAATGAGCTCCATCTCAGTGAGCACTTTGTCAGGTTTTATGGGACTTTTAATGAGTTGTTATTACAGAGGCTGATTTTAAAGTCAGGGCAAAGCACCATTTTTGAAGACATATCTCTCATTGACACCCCTAGAAGAAAACACTCACAAAAAGGTACGATTCGATCTTCTGGAGGCTCATGGATGAGCTGTGCAAGTACAGAGCAGAAAGCTCTAGTGGATTTTGAGGGCACAAGATGCTTATCTTTACATTGTTGGCCCCAGCAGGTGGGGGATATCTTGCTGTCACTTCAGTTACTACAGGAAAATGGCATCTAGACTCAGACTATGTGGTGAGCTACTTGTTTTCCTCCATTTTACAAGTTAACTACCATAATATGTTTCACATTTTTAAAAAATTGGTTCATGTGTGTGGGTGTTTTGCCTGCATATATATCTGTGTGTGTGCCTGGTGGCTCAGGAGGCCAGAAAAAGCCATTGGATCCCTGGAACTGGAGTTACAGTTGTGAGCTGTCATGTGGGTGCTCGGAATTGAACCCAGGTCCTTTAGAAGAGCAGCCAGTGTTCCTAACTGCAGAGCCATCGCTCTAGTCACCTATATAATATTTTTAAGAAAAATTATTTCATAGGAAAAGTTCTTTAAAAACTGATTTTTTAACAACAAAAAGAGGTAAAAACTTAAAAATAATGATCAAAATTTTATTGTATCTTATTTAAAAAAAACACAAGGAAGAACACTCTATACTTTGGGGAAAAATAGGCAAAGATATATAGCTAAATTTATATAAATAAACATTCCAATAAAAAGCACTTCCCAGTGTTTACCTGAGAAGTAGCCATGGCAAGACGGCCCCAGGGCCTGGGACATGTGGCATGCAGTAACATGTGAGTCATCACCAAACCCCCGCTAGACATGCAACATGTCGTGCTCACCGTGTTCTCCTGCCTCTGTCGTAACTGCAAAGTCAGGTCACCCAACATCTGGCTGAGAGTCGCGCGCACGGCAGTGTTGATACTGCGCTGGTGGCAGCTGCATGTGTAGGTCTGGATGCACACCTGGGGAGAAGAGAGTGAGGCTCACACGCCAGACATCCGATGGTCACAGACAGTCCTTGGCATTCGGCAGAGAGAACACCAGCTTTTTCAATTCTTTAACAAGATCTCTCTTGTAACTGAGGCTGGCCTTGAACCCAGGGTCCTCTTGCTCTGGCCTCCAAATCCTTCTGAAGGGGGAGGTCCGCTTGACTTTAAACCATTAATAAAAGTTGAGCCATATTAAAAACCTCTAGGAGTTGGGTTTTAAGCATTTGTGGAAGTCTCTCTCTGATCGTTACCATTCTCATAATCTCATGTTTCTGAGTTTCACAGGGGAAAACACATCTGTGGGGGTTTTGTGAACCAAGCAATTCTAAGTGCTCAGGAGAAAGTTCCATTTGTTTCACAACGGTACTAGACGTAGGAAATCTGGACATGGAAAATCTCAGAGCTACAAGGGGTCTGACTGTGTGTTAACTGCTGTGTTCTCCCAACAATGACAAAGGTGGACTGACTTGTGGGAAGAAGGGTTTCCTGGCCACTGAGCTGCACCTGACCCAGGGCTACTGTGATCCAACTCAAAATGTTAGGTGGGAAGCCACAGGCTCTGGCTTCCCTACATGCAGGAAGCGCTGTCATGGAGTGTGTCCTCGGAGGAAACATTGCAAGCCCTACCCACAGAGTTCTCCTGCAAACAGTCCTTTCTACTGGGACTGTGGGGCTCCAAAGCAAGGGTGACCCTACACTCACACGATGACACTTGGCCTCATGTGTCACACTGCCAACTGGGAGCCAGAGAGCCACCTGGACTGCTGAGAGGGAAAGGTACGCAGTGCCACTGTCCTGCCTGTTTTCTGTCTTCTATTCTTCTGGGCAAACATGCCAATCAACATCTCCTTGGATATGTGATTCGGAGTCTTCAGTGAAAACTAAAAAGGCTTGTTGGTGGCTAGTTATGGAGAAATGCCAGATTTCGGGTGGAGGCAGAATCTCTTACTTGATAAGGACTCTGGATGTCATGTCATGGCTTTTGAGAGTTCATGGCCTCTAATTTTGGGCACCTAGCAATGAATGACTGCTTAAAATTTGCCTTTTTTCCCCTCTCTCTATAAGGTCATCTGTCTTTCAACAAAGAGGAACACAGAAAAACAAAGAATACATCTAACCAGAAGCATTGAACACACTGGAAATTATTCTTCTAGAAACACTCCTCATGGGCGCTAATAAAAACAGAGGTTCTCTCCAAAGTGGGAAATTTGATAATTGATATCTTAGATGAAAGAGAAAATATTAATACTTGTTGTTGCCACTGTTCAAGGTATGAGAGTTCCTTGGCAAGTCATACTGTAATAGTCTCTTAATAATAAAATTAACCAAAAGCAAATGTTTTCTTTTTATTATTATTTTCCAGTGTTGGATTGGAATCCAGGCCTTGTGTATCCTGGACAAGTAGAACTCTAACATTTATCAACAACTTTAACTCCACAAAATAAATATTTTTAAAGTTTAATTTATACCCTATGGACTATTTAATATTTCAGAAAGGACATTTGAAGCTTAACACTTGATTTAGATATAGGTCTAGATGGATTCCTATAATTAAAAAATAGGGATAAGTTACAAAATATTTTTTTTGGTTCAGCTATTTAGGACATGTAAATTTTAAATATTTTTTTGTGACAGATCTCATTATGTAGCCTTGCCTGGCCAAGAACTAACTATGTAAACCAGGCTGGCTTTAAACTCAAAGAGCTCTTTGCCTTGGCTCCTGGGTACTGGTATTAAAAGTATGTGCTCATTTTCTCAAATAATTGTAGATTATAATAGATTTAAAGACAAAGAAATATAGGGTGATGTTTTAGTTTACAGAGTTTACTCTTTGGGGTATGATAAAATAACTTTAAAACTCTGAAATTACTTTTAAATGAGTTCATCATTGTGCTTTTGTGAAACTAACTTCTCTGTGGCCTATAGCCAGGCATGCAAATGCCATTTATCTCATAATTTAATGGTTTCCTTATATGTTTTTCAGGAAATCCCTGTAACTTTTGATGTTTAAAATAAGCTTTCACATATATTCAAAGAGGGTTCTTAATCCATGGAAGCACTGCATTTGAAAGAGTAGCCACTTTGATGGCTCCACAGGCCACTTAACATAAATCCTCCCAAACTCTGAGCTGTACACACAAGCCAAACTCCTTTAAGACATGCTATCAGCCCCTGAAACCTGTGAAAGAAAGCATTGGTGGAAAGTCAAACTTTACATGGCATGATGTTCTAACAAATAGAGAAGAACATTACAACTACCAAATGTATTTTTTCAGTGTGAATGTTACACTATTCTTAGTGGTTAGTAATAAAGGGATAACATGGGTCATGACTTATCACAAGAGACATGGAAATTATGAACACATTTACTCAGTGAAGAAAAAAACTGTTACCCTAAAAACTTATTCTGTCAAATTTGGGAATGTAATATTGAATATGACAGATGGATGTACTGTTAAATACAAGCAGTAGCACCTCTTTCTAGCATCTCTATTTTTAGGTGCTCAGAACAAAATGCCTCATCAGCTACTTTGAGAGGGTAATTGATGGTGGGGGGTGGATACTCACAATGCATTGTATTTATGTATGAAATCACAAAAAAGGAATTTTTCTTTCCTTCCTTCCTTTCCTTCTTCTTCCCTTCCCTTTTATTTTCTGTTTTTTGTTTGTTTGTTTGTTTGGTTTGGTTTTTCGAGACAGGGGTTCTCTGTATTGTTTTGGAGGCTGTCCTGGAACTCACTCAGTAGACCAGGCTGGCCTCAAACTCACAGAGATCCTCCTGCCTTTGCCTCTTTAGTGCTGGGAAAAACAGGTTCTTAAGCTTTCTATAGTGATTAAGTGGTTAAACTAGTTAACAGAATTTAGGTTTATATTTTAAAATTTGAACACTGTCTTCAATACCAGAGATTTTTAAAAGTTGCATAAAGGCTTCGCTTCTTTTGCTACAAGATGGTCCTAAGTGAGCACACTGGGAGAAAGGAGCCAGGAGAAGGCCACGTCCAAAGGCAGGCTGGTTCTGTACAGGAGCCACGGCTTCCTCTTTTCCCAGAATCATTCTACTCGCTTGTGCTCTTCGCATCTCTCATTCAGAACCAGAAAAGCCTCAGGCCTGTACCCTGGCCAGAAGTGAGAGAGGCCAATTGAAATACCGTGTGAAACATCACAGGCCCTTGATCACCAGGAAATGTGTGAAAACACAGGGCAGTAAACAAACAAACAAATAAACAAAAAAGCCATAACACACATTTTGATCATTTCATGCATGCGTGGACATCCAGCTTTATGACATGCTAAACACAACTGAGAGCAAAAACATAGATGGTTAATGATGAAAACAAAAACAAAAATAAAAAACTCCCAAGGAGGAAAAGAAGCAGAAAATGCAAGTCTGAAGGCAAGCACAAGGAATGGAACATTTACACCCCGGGCAAGTGTGACAAATGACAATGGCAGGTAAAGTCCAACATGGAGTGGGTGCACTGAGGGACATAGTACTCAGTATATTTTGATCCAAATAAGTACAAATTTAAAAGCAGATGCTTCAAGACAAATTTGTCTAGCTTTGAAAGTACTTGGTTTCACTTGGTTGAACATATACACAATTTCGTTTTTTCCTATCTGAATAGAGTTAATGGATTGTGTGTGTGTGCATGTGCATGCACACATATACACACACACACACACACACAGGAGAGGGCACAAACACAGAAAAACAGAATTTCAGTTTAAGTGTTCGTAGAAAGTATATTTTAATTTGGGCAACAATGTCAGATTGAAAAATTTACTGTATTTCCTTTTAGATCTCAGCTTGAAAGGAAAAATCTTAATAAGCTTGGCATACATGGAAAACTATCTTCTTCCTCTTCCGTGTTTGTTTTGTTTTGTGTTTGGGGCTTACACTGGCACAATATAGTGACTTAAGAAACCCTACTTTGTCAATTCCCACACTACTCAGCCTTCTGCTGAGTCTAGCTTTACTGAGGCCTAGCCTTTCCCCTGTGTCCTGGCCCAGGATGAGGTGTTCTCATGATTCTAATTATTGATGGGGGAAGTCCTTCTGTGTATATGTTGTCTTATTGTTTGATGAATAAAACACTGTTGACTAATAGGGAAGCAAGATATGTGGGACTATGAGTCAAGGAGGATTCTGGGAAATGTAGCCAAGAGTAGAAAGTCACCATGTGACTTCCTGGAGGAGAGGACATGTCAGGGTGGTGTCCTCGGAAAGATAAGTCCTTATAAAAATATGTATTAGTAATTATGGGTTAATAATTAAGTCAGAGCTAGCCATTAAGAAACCATAGCAAACAGCAAACAGCTTCATAATTAATGTAGTGTCTCATGTGTTATTTGGGGGCAGAGACAGCAAAGGGACCTAGGTAGCTGGCGGGAAAGAATACACGTTACATATGTTGGTTGCCTATTCCCGCACCACTCAGCCTTCTGCTGAGTCTAGCTTTACTGAGGCCTAGACTTTCCCCGATTGTCTTGGCCCCAGGTGAGGTATTTTCATTATTCTAATTACAAATAATTCCACTCAGGACCATCAAATCGGAGAGAAACAGAGATGCAAAAATCCCTTGCAATTAAAGACCTGCTCTTCTGATGTCCTTCTAATAGCAAGTAAGTAATACACGAACAGATAGACCAGAGGAATCAAACCAGAACCATTACAGAGATGGGAACACAGGGAAGAAAGGAAAAGGAAAGGGCTTTGGGGGAAGTAAACAAACTCCTTAGGACACTCTTGTGGTAGGCCTACATATTGCAAACAGCCTTGGGATCTACGGTCACAAAATGTAAATGCATCCCTATTTAACTTCATCTGTAAAAACAACATGTCTCAATTATCTAATTAAATGCCTCAGGAAAGGTCCATCATTTTCTAAGACTGATGGAACCCAGTGAGCAACAGAGCAAGAGTGGTTAACAGCAGCACATACTTGTAATACAAAAAGTCTAGGTTTTCCTTGGGGGGCATTGCAGGGGTGAGGGGAGGATATGGAGGGACTGGGAGGTGAGCAGAATTAGGGTGAATGATATGAAATTCCAAAAATATCAGTAAAGAAATGATGTTTAAAAAGAAAAAAAACAACAAGCTGTAGAAACTAGGACAAGAAAATGACTTGTTACATATGTGACTTGTGGTTTTTTACTTGGCCAGGGTGAGTAGACAGTAATGGTCAATGAAGATTCAGAGTGATGCTCTAGGGACTGGATGACTGATAGCTTTTATTAATCAGTGGTTTGGGAAAGGCAAACAAAGGGTAGAAAGAGTAAAACAGGGAAGTCCCTAGAAATAAGAGTGCTAGAAAACAAGACCCAACAACAATCTGAAACAGATCTTTCCTGAGACCAACAAGCTTGCTATGGGGGTAGGGGGGAAGACTAGAAGTTTCTAGGAATCAATAAGATCAAAATATCTATTACATGTTTCTATCCAAGGCTTTTGGCTTTTGAGAAATCCAATAGAAGTGTCTTCAGCAGACTTGATGACAGTTCTCAAATCTTTCCAATGGCACAGTATCATTAACCATTTTCAAATCAGCCTCGGACTGCTTGATTTGACCTTTTCCCTTGTGGAAGACCTTGATAGTTCCGTACTCTCAGACTTTTCCTATGTTAAGGGAGTGACTGTCTTTGGGAAACCCAACTTGTCTCCTGGCCTATACACAATGCTATAAAAAGCCCATCAGGACCGTGTGTCCATGTGGAGGACTGGTAACTGAATCCCTAATAATGGTTGCTTGTTTTGCAATTGCCTGTTTAACAAATCTCTCTCTCTCTCTCTCTCTCTCTCTCTCTCTCTCTCTCTCTCTCTCTCTCTCTCTCTCTCTCTCTCTCTCTCTCTCTCGTGTCTCTTGTAACACAGAAGGTACATTTGTGGTGAACTTTTCTGACTAGAGGTTAATTGCGCAAACTCCTGTTAGACACACAGACCAAGGCTGCCCTCATATTTACATTTTGAGAGCTCAATGATTCTTTTATGATCATTACAGTGCCTCCAGGAAATAGGCTCACTTTTCATGCTTAAATTATATATGTCATAAGCGACATCCTGGATGATCATCACTGTCTACCAGAGAGAGGGCAAAGAACAGCTGGACTCCTTCCTGCCATCCCCAGAGGAGTTTTACATGACTTTTAGAGCTTGTTGTATTTTTCCTAAGTTGCTTCCCTGACTGTTTTAAAAAGACAATGGTGAACTGATTCTAACAGCCATTTGTGTGGAATGTGGGTTTTGAGTCTAACTGGAACAACCATAAATGCTATGGAATGGAGTAATTTACAAGAGAGAGAAGAGAGAGGGGGGGAGAGAGGGAGAGAGAGAGAGAGAGAGAGAGAGAGAGAGAGAGAGAGAGAGAGAGAGAGAGAGAGAGAGAGAGAGAGAGAGAGAGGACCAGAGATAGAGCATGGGGGTGGCAGGAGATCCCATGGGGTGGGAGGTAGCAAGATCCACATCCACCAGGGAAGCCCCTGAGCCATGTTCTTTAACATTAGCTCCTACACACCAGGACACATAAATGTACCCCACACACACAAATGTTTATTCATCTCTACAAATCCATGATTGAAAACTATTTCATAGTGTGCTGGGAGACAGCTAACTTCTGGTTCTCTTTTGACAGCCATGGACATTTTCTATGTTGCCTGGGATGGAAATGTAGCTCAGAGGTAGGATTCCATGGTTTCAGAATACAGAAAAGCATTGCATCTTCACGGTCTGAATGCGTACTCCTACCAGAGCAAGCAAAATCTGAAAGCATTCTTTTCAAGGAATGGAAGGAAAACTCTACCAGGCAGAGGGAAGCTCCGCTCTGAAAGGACAGTGTTTCCAGAAGCTAAGGCATTCAAGGAGTCAGGGTTTCTGCTGGACACACTTTGGAATGTGCTAGAGGGCACATGTGACTCTTGTACAGTACAGGTGGTAAAGAAGGACCTTTTCAGTGACAGTGACAAAATGAATTTTTCAGGGCTTGTGAGACAGACAGAATTGGATCAATCAACATGTTTATAAATCCCATACTTGGCTTCTTAAACATGAATTTTAAGCAGAAAACACTCTGCAATTATTCTTAGGGGAAAAACAGACTGAGAAAGAATAAGCCTGGGTTGTAGTGGAATGGGAGCCTAGTACTGTTATTCCATATGTAAAGACTCAAGCAAAGCAAACCCAAACATGCATAGTCCTAAAACCCATGGCGTTAGGAGTAAGGATGACCAGTAAGGGTGACCAGTCACATAGCTTGCTTCCCACCAAGAAATCCAGCAGAAACTCCCACAGTCATCAGAGAAGTGGCCAGTCTCTCTGGTACTCAATCAAGTATTCCCCCAACTCGGGGGGACTGCAGCTATGAGCCGCTGGCAGCAAGGGGATACTCACCTCTGCAATCTTCAGCACAGCACTCCCATTCATGTCAAATGTTGATGTGTAGGTGATGCACAGCAAAACCTAGACCCCACAAGAAGTGAAGGAAGAAGGGAGGGATAGGGTTAAAATACAGAAATATGTTCGTGAGGAGGCTTGAATGAAAATGGCCCCCAGAGGTTCATATATTCGCAAGCTTAGTCCCCAGTTGATGAGCTATTTTGAAGGATTAGGAAGTGTGCCCTTGTTGGAGGAGGTGTGTCACTGGGGCTGGGCTTTGAGGTTTCAAAAGCCCACACCAAGCCCTGGTACATTCTCTCCCTCTTCTCCTTTTCCCCTTCCTCTTCTGTACTCTCCCTTCCCCTCTCCCTCCTCTTCCTCTCTGCCTGCTGCCTGTGGATCAGGATGAAAGCTCTCAGCTACAACACTGCCCATACCTTCCCCATCCTCTGTGCCTACACTGAAATGTCACTGTGCTTGTCTATTCTTACCCCTTCCCAACGCCACATGGGATTAGACGTTCTACTTTCTTCTCTCCTATAACTGTCCCCAGAATGGTCCTTGGCATTTTCTTACTTTCTGGTCTCAGATTCCCTTTCTTCCCCGAGATATGTAGTTAGACGGTTGACGACATTCACAAGCTCTTTAAGACTCATTAAATATCCTTTCCACTAAGCTCTGTTAGGGAACCCATCAGTCAGAGACCCAGCATTAAGAACCATGCCTGTCTTTGTAGGTAGGAATCCAAACCCCTCCCCCACCTCTCTGAGGGGTCTGACTTCTGCTGGAAAAAAACAGAAGGAAAGTGTCAGAACCTTCTGCCTGACTCCCCCAGACCCAGCAGCTGTGCTCCCTGCAGAGTGGCTTGCCAGAGACATCCTTTGGTGACTTCCCTCACCTGGTCACATTCATAAAATAACACAGAAGCCTGAACATACACATAATACAGGATGCATACTTAACCACACACCCAAAACGAATGGTTTTATTTGCTTGGTGTAGAAAGAACTATTTCTCAGCCTATAGGTCTGAGCTGCTGGTTAAGCCGGGCAGCCCCAGGAGACCGGCCTGTCTTTCAGAGAGAGCAACCTGTAGAACTAAAGAAAGAATGGATTGGTTTTTTTTTTTTTTTTTGCCAAGTTGTGTCACGAGATTAGACAAGTTACTTGTGGGTTTTCTCCCCAGTTTTTCTATTCGTACTGTGGCTTCATATCTGAGTTGACTCCAGATAAAAATTGGTTTTGTGTTATTGTGACCAGAAAAAAAGGGACATGGGAGCAACTGTTCTTTGACCCCCTGGGATGTGGATGTCCTGTAACGGCTATCTTCTACAGCTGGGCTTGGTAGGAAAGGAAGGGTAAAGGCAGTGGGGTCATCACAGAACTTGCTTTGAGGGACTTCTGTCTTCTGTGCCTCCTCAATACACAAGCTTAGTGTGTTGCCTGAAGCCTCTGTCCTTGGCTTTTCCTATGTGGCTCCTGTAAGAACCCTTTCATAGACTTCCTCTGGGTCTCATCTTCCAGGCTGAAGCTTGAATGTCTCGAATGTCACCACGTTGGAGACCACCTTCCCTCTCATACCCTCCTTCTTCACGTGGCCTCTGTCACATCTTGAACAAACACCCATCTCATCAGTTACTGGCTTAGTTTAGTATTTATACTCTCCCCTTAGGCTTTACTGTTCATTGTTTACTCAGGACACACTCATCTGATGCCTTCTTGCTTTAATATTTGGTCACTCGGCACAGCTTCCTTCCCTTCTCTTTTTATACCATGTCCCTGGCAAGGGGGGAGGAAGGCTAAGAAGATGATGGCTGGGGGTGGCAGTGATGATGGTCTTTGGTCTTTTGGTCTAGCTGGACTTATGGGTTTGAGAACACTGTCAATAAAGACTGGCAACTGGTAACACTTTATAAGATGCTGAAGGCAAATATTTATCTGAACTGGTTAACCATTAACATTACTTACAGAGCTGCCCATTGGTTTTTCTACTTTCCACCTCGACATGCATTCAATTTGAGGTGGCAGAAAGTAGATTTGGAAAGAATTTCCAATTTGACCCAGTTTACAAGAGCAAGAGTTTCATTTAGACAGCAGAGCTGAGAAGTAGACATCTACAGGGAGGCAGTAAGGACTATAAATTGGCAGTATTCAATGAAAAAAGTCTTGGGGGAAACAAAGAAAACTCATTTCTGTACATGACAGGAAATCTTGGCATGAGAGAATTCTAGCATGTGCGTGGGCACACAGAAAACCGGGGATCTTCTACCCAAGCCCCATCCCCAGCAATGCTGGAGAAGACAGGCTTTGCACAGTGGTGTTGAGCTACCAGTATTCACAGACTCTCTGAGCTATCCGGAAAAAGCAAAACCAACAAACTGAAAACAAAGAGAGGAAGTAAGGCATATTAATAAGGCAGTTTATTGTGTGGAAAACACACTGGGTCTTAATTGTGGAGTGGATGGTATCCATGACTCACAAGATAAAGGGCATGGTATCTAGCTAGGCTGATGTGGCAAGGAGAGAGAAAAAAAAGATAGAGTGACTATTCTGCACTCCCCCCCTCCATGCCCAGCAAGCACTAATCCATCAGAACACACCACAGATGGGGTGTAGGAAACATAGGGTAAAAGCAAATTAATTTAGTGTCTGGCTTTCTCCAGATAATGAGCAGGCAAAAATTTGCATTAACACTCTGGGCACGTAGCTTCCAAGGAAAACAAGAGTCCCTAAATATTGAGGGCAATTCTGTTAGAAATACATCCTTCCCAGGGGGTAGTGAAGCATATTGACTAAATTAGCACTAACAGCACGAGTTTGAGTGACAGGCAGCATCTAGCAATCGAATGGACTGGAACTGCCTCCATACATGAGCTAACAAGAAAACAGAGAAAATGGGCAGAGTCTTCCATGGAGAGAGAAAGAACATTGCCAGGGCTACTAAAGACCTTAAGTCACTTAAAAAATAAGAATCAAATAGCTGATATGTGTAAGAAGTAACTCCTTGTCAAGTATGTATCTAGAGACCTGGGTTAAAAAGTTATTGTAATTAGAGTGGAAAAAAGAATTTGGGCTGGGGTGATATCCTAGTTGTAAAGTGATTGCCATATATGCAGAGAGATGAGTTCAATCCACAGAACCCACGTGAAAGCACTGAGCATGGGAACATGCATATATTATCTCAGTGATGGGGAGGTGGAGACAGACAGACCCATGAGGGTCTCTGAGCAGAAAGTTTCAGCCCACTGAGAAGCTGTCCTCTGGCCCTCACACTCATGGACACACCTGTGCACTCATATCTATACACATATATGGATACCCACCCACCCCATACATACACTGTGGGGGAATAAAGCTGATTTATTATAGTTGAGCACAAGTAGGTATGTTATTTTTTTAAGACAAGATCAAGTTGGGAGGGAGTATGTTAGAGGATACAGGAGGAGCTGGGTAGAGGAAGAAGAGGGTGGTATGATCATAGTTCATTGTATTTGTTGAAATTCTCAACAAATTGGAAAGGGAATCTGGAAACACCATCACACTAGGATTAGACAGGTGGGTGGGGCTCAGTGAGGAGGAGGGTGTGTGTGAAAGGACAGTGTGCTCTTCTGAGTGGGAATATCTTGGACCACCCTTCTCCAAAAGGGCATGTCCCTATTGCAGTTCTCTGTCAGCCATGCCCTGCCTCGTGACTGTGATCACAAGAGTAGGGGCTGTGAGTTCAGGGCCATAGAGTTCTAGTGACATGATTGTGCCATGAAGTCCAGGATTGACATATTATGTGACTTTGCTTATGCCCTTTGTGACCTCATCTTTAAAATTCTCATCCCCACAAATATATTGAGATGAAAGAATACATTAAAGAAATGTCTAATTAAAAATACAGTGCAAGGGGAAAGAATTAGGGGACTCCTAGTGGCTGCCCATGTTTGTAAACTGGATGTCATCCTACAACTGTGCCCCCTGTCCAATTCTTACTAGTCAGTCCAGCTGAAATCTCTCAACTTCACATTCCCACACATTTTCTAAGCACTTTATTAGATATAGATCCTGTAACATACTTTTTAAGACAGAGACGAGTTTCTTAAAATGCATAGTGATCTCAGAAAAGAAGAAAATTCAGAAGTCAGATTTTTATATCCTTTCTTCTTCAGGGCAGTTTACATATATTGTTTTAATCAGTGCCTCCCTTCAGTACCCCTCCCCATTTGACCAATAACTCTATTAGTAGTAAGATCTCTATGTTGGCTGTCTTGGCTGCAGTACTTGCTGGGCAAGTCCATGCTCACTATCTTCCCTGTGTTATGAGTGATTAGCTTCACAGAGTCTCAGTGCGACTTAGTCATTATTATAATGTGGATTAACAGGACCATTAGGAGGCCTCAATGGCACACAAGAAAACTGTTCTGAAAATCTCACGGTGCTTGGCTAGAGACAGTTTATAACCTTCCATGTAAAAATATAGATATAAATATATTTTATACACACATGCATATATATGTAAACATACACATAGACACACACACACACATACACACACACACACACACACACACACACACACACACACACACACGTATCCTTAAATGGAAAATCTGAAATGCTTCCAAGTCAGAAACTCTTAGTGCTGAACTCAAAATAGTTTTGGAATTTACAGCATTTCAAAGCTTGGGTTTTTGGAGTAGAGACCTCAAATATTCCAAAAAACCTAAAAATTCAGACAGCTAAAACACTTTTGGTCCAAGCATTTCAAATTAAGTGGTCTTTACTCTGTAATACTACAATTCCAGTTGGTCTGGTTGGGCAAATAAGATACAGTAAGACTCCACTAAGGATGCCCAGAACCATTGCAAAAAATCCTAACTCTACAAAGAAATCATTGCTATAGCCAGTAGTATCCTCCATGAGACATCCCTCTACCCCAGTTCTCCCTGTATTCTTCTGAGACTCTGTTCTTTACACTTACCAATGCATATGGTGACTTGTTATGATATATGAGCTGAAGAAGCCAATCTGTTAGGATTCCAAATGGACCCTTCACCACACCATTGCCAGGATACCCAGATGTGAAGGAATGACTCTTGA